TTGTGGGGTTGAAGTGGGCAAATCACTTGAGGCCAGGAGTTCAAGACCAGCCTAGCCAGTAGAAACCCTGTCTCTACTAAAAATAGAAAAATTAGCCGGGTGTGGTGGCACAGGCCTGTAATCCCAGCTACTCGGGAGGCTGAGGCAGGAGAATCACTTGAATCCAGGAGGCAGAGGTTGCCATGAGCCAGGATTGTGCTGCTGCACTCCAGCCTGGGCGACAGAACAAGACTCTGTCTCAAAAAAAAATTACTCTTATGCGTTCTTCTGAGAGTTTTAGGATATTAGCTCTTATGTTTAGTTTGTTGATCTATTTTACATTAATACTTATAAATGTATTAATACTTTACTTTCTTCTTTTTTTTTTTTTTTTTAAGATGGAGTCTTGCTTTGTCACCCAGGCTGGAGTGCAGTGGCTTGATCTCAGCTTACTCCAACCTCTGCCTCCTGGGTTCAAGCGATTCTCTTGCCTCAGCCTCCCGAGTATCTGGTATTACAGGCATGTGCCACCATGCCCGGCTAATTTTTTGTGTTTTTAGCAGAGATGGGGTTTCACTGTGCTGGCCAGGCTGGTCTCAAACTCCTGACCTTGTGATCCACCCACCTCAGCCTCCCAAAGTGTGGGTATTGCAGGCGTGAGCCACCATGCCCAACCTGAGATCTTTACTTTTTTTATTTACTTAAAAAAAAATTTTTTTTAGATAGAGACAGAGTCTCATTACATTGTTTGGGCTGGTCTTGAACTGCTGATCTCCAGTGATTCTCCCACCCTGGCTTCCCAAAGGGCTGGGATTACAGGCATGAGCCCACCCGGAATTTATTACTATCTAGCCTGCTTCTGTATTTAAGCTGGAGTGGGTGTGCTGAGCAGGAGCTTCTGTGGGGCCAGAGGTTGCCCTGGATCTCCCCTTCCCACTCCAGGGTGGAGCTCTACCGCAGCTCTTTGGCCCCCACACTCAAGCCTCAGCTGGCCAGAGGTCATCAGCTGGAGGCCTCAGTGGTGGGCATGGAGCAGGAGGCAGCCCTCCTGGGCACTGGGGAAGGAATGGCCTTCCTTGGCAAGAAGGTTTTGGGATGTCTGAGCCTTGGTGGCCATGAAGTCCAGCCTGGTGCCCCAGGCCGGGCCAACAGAGACACTTCTGTCCCAGGATCGAGTTGGCAGGTAGCTGTATGGGTGGGGACCGTGCCCCCTCCTCTCAGTTCAGCCCTTTGGTAGCTGGACAGAGCATGGCCCTGAGAGACTCCACCTGCTGTGTAAGGCAACCCCCTGGCCCTAAGGGTTGAACATCCTGGGGTGTGGTTTTTCCCCTTTCTCCACGCCACCTGCCCTGTGTCCTGCCCCTACCTCCCTGTGAGCTGGAGGCTGGGGGTCAAGGCTTCCTCTGCCCTCTTTGGAGCCCACGGCAGCCCTGGGTCTGGCATATGGACTGGAGTATGAAAGGAAAGGAGTCGGGGCTGGAACTCAAGGCCAGGTGGGAGTAGCATAGCCGGTGCCCACCTGTAGCCCTGCCTATCGACACAGCCCCTCAACCCACTCCTTGCACCCTTTCTCCTAGCTCCTCCTTCCCAAGTCTGAGACCAAGAGGCAGGGCCAAGCAGTGTGGGAGCAGCCCAGGCAGGTGCCCCAGATCCTCCTGCTCAGGGGGGACTACCAGCACTCCTGCTAGTGGGGAAGGGCCCTGTTGGTCCCCCTGCAGGGCTTCCAGACGCAGAGTAGGCCCGGGGAACAAGGCCTCCGACCTGCGAGACCCTGCTGGTGGCCACCGGCTCCTGGGGCGCCCCCACGGCCTATAAGTGCCTGGGGGTGACTGGGCCTTCCCTGCTTTCTAGGGGAGAGTAACTGGGACACTGTCACATTGGGAGCCCCTCATTGCACAGATTAGCTCCTCCCCTGCCCCTTGGAGACAGGTGGGCACCTTCCCAGGTGGCACCTAGCAAAGTGTGCTGCTGCCCCACACACCCTCCCTAGGCCTCCAGGCCAACCCCCAAGTGCCTCAGACCTACAGGCCCAGCAAGGCTCCATCACTGCCTGGCCTTGGGGCCCTGCCTGGTCCTGGTCTCCTCTTCAGCTCAGGGGCTTCCCCGCATCTCCTGAGCCCAATGTAAGGGCCCCATCCCTGCTCCTCTCCTCTCTGCCCACACCTCCCCGGGGTGGCCCCATCCACTCTCACAGCCTCAGGAACTTCCTCTCATGGCAACCCCAAAATGCCCCAGGGCCCAGACAGTCAGTCCTGCTGGGCTGACTCGGGGCTGCCTCAGCTTCTCTTTCCCTCATCCTCAACCCCCATGTCCAGTGGCAAGTCCCGTGGTCCCCGAGCCCTAGCGGTGCCCCCAGAGGCGCAGTGAGCCATTGCCATCCTGGTGTTCTGCCCACCCCAATGCCTGGATGGAGCAGATACAGGTGAGTGATGGGCTTCAGGAACAGCTGGTGCCACCAGCCTGGCCCCAGGCCCTTGTCCCTGCTGCCCATGCTCCACATACAACTGGAGGGGCCTTCCACCTTTCTGCTGTGGTCAGCACCAGCCTGGCTTGTGCTCCAGCCCTGGCTGGGCCTCCGTCCCCTCTTCATTGGCCTGGAATGTCATTCAAGCATCACATGCTTCGGTGGTCCTGGTGCGGCCTCCCTGGCAAACCCCTACCTGCACACACTCTTGGCTCTGCACACAGGGCTCCTTCAGGGCTCCGTGCACCTGCTGTGCTGTCCGGGAGCTGGCCGCCTTCTTCCTGCGTTTCTCCTCCTCCAGTGACCTCCTGGGCTTGCCTTGGCCATCCATTCCCCAGTGACCGAGGCTGGGCTCACCTTGACCGTCTACTCCCCAGTGACCACCTGGGTTGGACAAAGCCCATCACTCACCAGAGCTACCCAGAACTTGTCATTGCTGGGACTGCAGCTGCCCCACATCTTAATCTGGAGCATCCCAGGTCAAGGGGCAGAGGTCACCACCTCCAGCCCCTGCTGTGGTCTCGTGCCCAGCCCAGGCACACGGAGACACAGGGAAGTTCTGAGGTGTCCTTGGCCTTCACCAGGCCAGAGCCAAGGGCATGAGGACAGCAGCCAGGCTGTGGCTAGAGGGCTATGGGGCTGGGGATGTGGGTAGTAGAGCCTGGCTGCATGCCAGGCTCTGTGCCTCCCACCTGAGAGAGAGGGCAAGACCTCACCCAACTTTCCTGTCAGGCCAGGACTGAAGGCATCCAGCCCATGACTCAGTGCTGGGAACTCAGTGGAACTTCCTGGGGGATTGGGGAGGGGTATGGGGCTTCTGACAGTGCCGGTCCCTTGCCCCTCACTATGACACTGGCCCCCATTTCCACACTGTTGGTGGGCCAGAGTCCAGCCCCATCCCTTCAATGGGCTACATGAGCCCTTTAGCTTCCCAGCCTCAGTTTCCTCATTTTTACCCCAAGAGGGGTAGACTTTGTGGTCTCTAAAGGACATGGTTACAGTGTGAAAATGCCATGCATCCCTCAGGGTCCCCCTGACTCCCTCAAAGCACCTCCTGCTCACATGCTGCCATCCCTGCAGTGGACAGGACAGCTGAGGAAGATGAATGCCAGGGCACTCTGGACCCTCTCCTTCTGGATGAAGCCAGCCTTGGGAGGACTCCCTTTGGGTCCCACCTGCTGGGGGGCACGACCTGTTCCACACTAGCCTTGAGGGAGTATCCCCTGGTCCTGCCTGCGTTCATACTGGGATCCCTGGCAACACTGGCCCTGCCTCCAGGCCTTGACTTCTGGGAAGCGGCTACAGTAGCAGTGGCTTTGGGGCATGTCTGCCGCCGTCTGGCTCATGGTCCCACCTGGACAGTGCCAGTCTTGCTGGTCTCTTCCTGGAGGGTCATCCTGTCCAGAGGATCCTCCCTGCCCCCAGCCCTCAGCCAACACGGCCAGTACCCTGTTGCAGGGCAGCCCTAGCTTCTGGGGACAAGCTGTCTGGCACATGGAGTGCATGGCGGACGTCTCCCACTGAACTCCCATCCGTGCCCTCCTTTCCCCAGGACCCAGGCCAGGAGTCACTGCCTACTCCCCTCCTCCTGGAACAACTGGACACGGGGCCCAGGAGCAGAGCATGCCCACAGGCACCAGCCCCTTTCATTTCTTGGCTCCTCTACTGCCGAAGAGCTTGGGAACCAGGCAGATGGAGAAGTTGCCTCTGCAAGCCTGACGCCGGCATTCCCCAAACCTGAGGGGAAGTGGCTTGCTCTGGCCCATCCAGGCGGGGTCCCCTCACACCTCTTGTCCTGGGTCCCTGGGTTTTTAGGACCCCGAAAGAGGCCTGGAGGCCTCAGGCAAACAGCTTTTGGGGGCTCCCATGGTGAGGTCAGCCACCAGCGCCCGAGTCCTAGGCTCCTCCAGCATTGTCCCGGGCGTGGGTGGGAGGAAGGCTGCAGGGTGCCTGGCTGCAGGCACAAAGAGGAGTGATCCCGGGTAACAACGCGGGTGGGGGATGACACCAGACCCCTGGCTGACTGCCCCACCAGGGGAACTCCCAGACCCCAGATACCCCGTCCACTCCACGCATTAGTGGTGGCTGAAGGTTCTGTGAACCAGGCTGCCCTGTCCCGGGCCGGCCTCAGTTCATCCCTCGCAGATGGATAAGAACATCTAGATGCCTTTTTTTGAGGAATGGTTGGGAATGGCTGAGCCTGAGGATACTGTTCCCACAGGACGGCGGGGGCGTCTCTGGGTCTCCTTCTGTCCCGACCCCCTCCTTTCCCCAGTTCCCTCATCGGGGTCTCCAAGCCCGTGGGCAGCCCCGGGAACTCGTGACATCCCGGTCCTGGGCGCGGCGCCCCCTGCCCCGAGGACGACGCCGGCCCGTGGAGGCCCCGCCCGCCCTCGTGCTCCCTGGTCCCGGGGCGAAGGCTCAGGTCAACCCTTCGGGAGCGGGCGCCTGGGGCCCTCAGCCTGGCCGGGGGCGGCGAAGGTGGGGGCGCCTCGCGCGGCTCAGCCCGGAGCCCCATCCGGGGTCGCTCCGCTGATCAGAGGCCGGGCTCACTCTTCGATCCGCGGCAGGCCTCGTGGCCTCTCTCGGGCTCGCGCAGCGCGAAACCTGGCGGCGCAGGAGGCGCCGGAACCCAGCGCCAGGGATCCCGTTTCCTGCCGGCGGGACCCGAGCGCTGCACCGAGCGCAGCCAGACACGGCCGACGGACGCGGTCGCTGTGGCAACGCGGCGGGACCGGGCAGTGCTGCGGAAGCGCGTTCCGGTGAGGCGCGGGCGGCTCGGGAGGCGCAGCTCAGACCACTTTTCTGTGGAAAATGCCGGGACTTGCATTTTCCACAGAGTAGGACGCAGCGCTCTGGTGGGGACCCCGAGCGCGAGGTCAACCCTCAGAGCCCGGCCGGGCCGGGACCGGAGAGCCCCTCGCGGAGGCTGCGGCGGGGCGGGCGCGTTTCCTCGGTCGCCCATGGGCGACCTGGGGCGGTGGGTGCTACCGACCGGGGCCACGGGAGAGTTCGCCGGTTCCGCCGTCGGCAAGGACGGCTCCGCTCCCAGTCAGCCTCACTGAGTATGAGTTAAAAAAATAAAATAGGCCGGGCGCGGTAGGTCGCGCCTATAACCCCAGCGCTTTGGGAGGTCGAGGCGGGCAGATTGCTTGAGGCCAGGAGTTCGAGACCATCTTGGCCAATATGGCAAAATGCCGTCTCTACTAAAACTACAAAAGCTGGGGGTAGTGGCACGCGCCCGCTGTTCCAGCTACTCGGGAGGCTGAGGCAGGAGAATCTCTTGAACCTGGGGGGTGGAGGCTGCAGTGAGCGGAGCGCGCGCCATTGCACTTCAGCCTGGGCGACGAGAGCGAAACTCCGTCTCAAAAAAAAAAACTTATATGCAATTTAGAAAAAGTATACAAAAGGAGTACAAAGATTTCCCCTGTGCCTTTTGCCCAGAGCCCCTAGGATGCTGACCTCTTACAGAACAGAACCACAGTTCATTCAGCAACATGCAGATGTTGGCGTTCATGTTAATATAATGCCACTATCTGCTCTCCAGGATTGTTGGAAATAGATGCTCGGTGCTGCAAAGAAAAATTAGCACTGAGACAAAAGATCATTCAGCAATGCAGTTTTTACTTCCTGGACTGCAGGAAGGGCACCCTCACTAACCATGTTGTCTGCAGAGTACAGTGAATAAAGGAATGCACACAAATGTATTCGTTACGCATTTGGGGTTGTCCTTACTCCTGTGTCTGATCTCCATTGGCTGGAGCCAGACCTCACGATCTAAACTAAAGCCCAATTGGCTAACAACTTAAAACTTTTCTAAACGGGTAAAAGCTGGGACATGCCTGTGAGCATCTCCAGCACAGATATCTTGGTTAAAGTACAGGGACATTGAATGTACTACATGCTTGTAAGCACGGCATGTCTAACAGCTACATGGGATAGGGCTTGACAAAGTTGTTGGCACACTTATTCTTTACCAAGACAGGAAATTTAAAAAGGAAATTTTTACTTCCCACAAGGATTTATTCTCACTTAGCAGCTAACTCATGGATGACTTTACTGTGGTCTAGGGTCCAATGATGAGTCTGCTGTTTTGTAAAATGCCCCCCGGTTTGGGTTTCTCTGATGTTTTCTTGTTATTGATTTTATATTATGCATTTTTGGCAAGAAAACTTCAAAAGGGCAATTGTGTCCTTCCCAGTGTCTCAGAAGACACAGGGTAGCCATGGCTGTTGGTGCTAGTCATGTCCCTGTGGCTGAGGTGATGTCTGCCGAGTGTATCCATAAAGTTAGGGTCCTTCCCTTTGTAAATAATAAGTATCTGTGGGGAAATATTTTGCGACTTTGTAAAGATCTTGTTTCTTTTTCTTTTCTTTTTCTTTTTTTTTTTTTTTTTGAGACAGAGTCTCTCTCAGTCACCAGGCTGGAGTTCAGTGTCTCAATCTTGGCTCACTGCAACCTCCATCTCCTGGGTTCAAGTGATTCTGCCTCAGCCTCCTGAGCAGGTGGGATTACTGGCGCCTGCCATCATACCCAGCTAATTTTTTTTTTCTGTATTTTTAGTAAAGACAGGGTTTCACCATGTTGGTCAGGCTAGTCTTGAACTGCTGACCTCAAGTGATCTGCCCGCCTCAGCCTCCCAAAGTGCTGGGATTACAGCCTGAGCCACAGGCCCTGCAAGATGATGTTTCCTAACCATACTCCTCTCACTAATTTTAGCACCGAGGAGTGTTTCCCGAAAATAACTATTAGTGTGCCATTTGTTAAATGATTTTTCTGTTTCCATTACTCCTACATTTATTAGTTAGGATTCTCCTGAGAAAGAACCAACTCTTCTCATCATTTTTCTATTCAGTTGTTAATTTTAGTTAGTATATCTTTTTTTTCTTTTTGAGATGGAATCTTGCTCTCTCTCCCAAGGCTGGAGTGCAGTGGCATGATCTTGGCTCACTGCAACCTCCACCTCCCGGGTCCAAGCAATTTTCCTGCCTCAGCCTCCTGAGTAGGCAGGATTACAGTCACCCACGACTGTGCCTGGCTAATTTTTGTGTTTTTAGTAGAGGTGGAATTTCATCATCTTGGCCAGGCTGGTCTTGAACTCCTGACCTTAAGTGATCCACCCACCTTGGCCTCCCACAGTGCTGGGAATTCAGGTGTGAGCCACCCTGCACGGCCTATTTTTGTTAGTATATCTTTTTATTCCATGGATTCTAATTCATTGCTATCATGTACATTGTCCAGATTGAGGTATTAGGAGCCCCTTCAAGTTGGCCTCTCTGTAGCCATCCCAACCTTCTGGAGCACTGTCTTTCTTTCTGGCACGAATTCAGACTCGTCTTGTGCTTGCCCTGACATATCCCAGAATCAGTCATTTCTCCAAGGAGCCCTGGTTCCTTTTAGTTTAGAAGGTGGTGTTGGCCAGGGAGGGTGGCTCATGCCTGTAATCCCAGCACTTTGGCAGGCTGAGGCGGGCGGATCACGAGATCAGGAGTTCAAGACCAGACTGGCCAACATGGTGAAACTTCATTTCTACTGAAAAATACAAAAATTAGCTGGGCATGGCAGCTCATGCCTGTAATCCCAGCTACTTGGGAGGCTGAAGTAGAAGAATTGCTTGAACTGGGACATGGGAGGTGGAGGTTGCAGTGAGCTGAGATCGAACCACTGCACTCCAGCCTGGGCTACAGAGCGAGACTCCATGTCAAAAAAGAAAAAAAAAAAAAGAACGTGGTGTTTAGAAATCAAGATCCCAGTGTCAGATGGATGCCATTTCTTCTGGGCTTTCTTAATGGATACAGCTAGGTTCTATACACTATACAAATATAAATCTATTTCAGTATAACTGTATCTGTGTTTGTATATATTAAACTGTGGCTGGGTACAGTGTTTCGTGCCTGTAATCACAGCCCTTTGGGAAGCTGAGGGGAGGAAATTGCTTGAGGTGAGGAGTTAGAAACCGGCCTGGCCAACAAAGTAAGGCACTCATCTCTATAGAAAATCATAAAATAAATGAGCCGGGCATGGTGGCATGTGCCTGCAGTCCCAGCTACTTTGGAGGCTGTGGTGGGAGGACCACTGAGCCCAGGAGTTTGAGGCTACAGTGAGCTTTAATTGTGCCACTGCACTCCAGCTTGGGTGACAGAGAGAGATTTCCTCACAACAAACAACAAAGACATACACAAAAAAAAACCTGTTGGTTTATTACAAGTTATTCACTTGTAATCACGTTAGGTTCACTTCTATTTCATTTTGATTCCTTACTGATTTTAAGTTTTTTTGTTTTTTGTTTCTGGCACGTGAAACATATATGGTTCTAAAAGTCCGCAAAGTCTAAACTCAACTACAAGACTTCTATTTCTCATTTACTCACTTTTTTTTTTTGGAGATGGAGTCTTGCTCTGTCGCCAGGCTGGAGCGCAGTGGTGCAGTCTTGGCTCACTGCAACCTCCGCCTCCCAGGCTCAAGTGATTCCTCCTCCTCAGCCTCCTGAGTAGCTGGAATTACAGGCACCCACCACCATACTCGGCTAATTTTTGTATTTTTAGTAGAGACAGGGATTCACCATGTTGGCTAAGATGGTCTCAATCTCTTGACCTTGTAATCTGCCCACCTTGGCCTCCCAAAGTGCTGGGATTATAGGCGTGAGCCACCGCACCCAGCCCATTTACTCATTTTTTTGGGGGAAGTGCAGATTCAAAGAAAACAGCCCTTCATGTTCCTTCATGGTGGTGGTGCCCCTCTTCTCCAGCAAGTGCCAGTGACAGAATTAAGACCTACTGCTAACCTCTCTTATTTCAGTTTTAAAAAATGGTTTGTGGCTACTCTTTGGCAGACAGTGGAGGAAGTGAAAAAAGACCTGGGGTCATTTAAAGAGTAAATGAGAGGCTGGGTGCAGTGGCTCAAACCTATAAGCAGGGGAAGGATTGCTTGAGTTGTATCTTTTAGATGGGCATTTGAGGCTGCAGTGAGGCGTGATCAGGCCACGGCACTCCAGCCTGGGCGACAGAGTGAGACCGTCTCAAAAAAAAGAAAGAGTGAATATACTGAATTTTGCCTCCCAGAGGGCTGAGCAGCACTCTTCTGGAATCCAACAGGGGCCACAAGAGCTAAATTCAGTACATTTAAAGGTGAGCAGATCGCTTGAGGCCAGGAGTTCAAGACCAGTCTGGGCAACATAGTGGAACCCCATCTCTATGAGAAATTAAAAAAAAAAATTTTAACTGGGCATGGTGGTACCTGCTTGTAGTCCCAGCTACTCAGGATGCTGAGATTGAATCCCCTGTCCTGAGTACAAAGTGAGTGAGCCACCCTAGACTTGCCTTCAAGTCCCAGAAAGTGTTTTATAAGTTAAGGGTATTAGGCTGGATGCAGTGGCTCACACCTGTAATCCTAGTACTTTGGGAGGCCGAGGTGGGTGGATCACCTGAGGTCGGGATTTCAAGACTAACCTGGCCAAGATGGGGAAACCCCGTCTCTACTAAAAATATAAAAATTAGCTGGGTTTGGTGGTGGGTGCCTGTAATCCCAGCTACTCAGGAGGCTGAGGCGGAGAATTACTTGAACCTGGGAGGCAGAGGTTGCAGTGAGCCAAGATCACACCCCTGCACTCCACCTGGGCAACAGAGTGAGACCGTCTCAAAAAAAAGTTAAGGATATTAAATATATTTATATACGGAGGTCATAAAAATATATATATTTGGGCTAGGCATGATAGCTCATGCCCGTAATCCCAGCACTTTGGGAGGCTGAGGCAGGCAGATCACCTGAGGTCAGGAGTTCGAGACCTGCCTGACCAACATGGAGAAACCCCATCACTACTAAAAATACAAAATTAGCCTGTCGTGGTAGTGCATGCCTATAATCCCAGCTACTCGGGAGGCTGAGGCAGGAGATTCGCTTGAACCCGGGAAGCGGAGGTTGTGGTGAGCCAAGATTGTGCCATTGCACTCCAGCCTGGGCACCAATGGCGAAACTTCATTTAAAAAAAAATAATATATATATTTCCAGTTAAGTAAGGGACAAGAGACAGGGTTTTGCCATGTTGCCCAGGGTGGTCTCGAACTCCTGGGGTCACATGATCCTGCCTCAGCCTCCCAAGTTCTGGGACAACAGGGGCCAGCCACTGCATCCGGCCCTAAACCATAATTTCTAATCTTTTGGCTATTTTGTTGTCCTACAAAGCCAGTCTAGTCCCAGGCAAAAGGAGGTTTGTTTTGGGAAAGAGGTGTTACTGTCTTTGTTTTAAACTATAAGCAAAGTTCCTCCTAAACTTAGTTTGACCTACACCCAGGAATGAACAAGGAGAGCTTGGAAGTTAGAAGCAAGATGGAATGGTTAGGTCAGATCTCTCTCACTGCCTAAGTTATAATTTTGCAATGGTGGTTTCAAAGACTGCCCTGCTTCTGACACCAGTCTCGAGTCCTGGCCTCTGGAACTTCTGACTGACCACTGGGTTCAAGTTGGGGTTCCCACAACCCCCTCTTTAGGTTCAATTAATTTGCTGAGGTGACGCCCAGAACCCAAGGAAACACATATTAACAGTTTACTATAAGGGGCATTGCAGAGGCTACAGAGAAGATCTGTAGGGTGAGATATGGGGGAAGGGGTGTGGAGCTCCCTGGGGGACCCCCACCCCACCCGCCACTCCCCAAGAACCTCTCCAAACCCTGTTCTGTGGGTTTTTAGAGAGGCTTCCTGAAGACAGCATTCATTCCCCCTGTGTAGAGGGTGGGAGCTCTGGGGAGGGTCTTATAACCTACAGTGGAAGGTCAGATGAGAGTGGAGACCTGGGACAGATTCTTTCTGAGGCCTGACACACCCAACATTGTAACAAAACACTGACAGGGAGATGGGGGTTACGAGCCAGGAACTGTGCAAAAAACCATGATGTGTCATGATACCACAACAGGTAAACCTGCAACATCACTGTTAAATCAGCTCAGTATTTTTTAAATGAGAAAAAGTGATGAGATGCCCACCTGTGCTGTTCCAGTGCCTGCTGGGAGCCGGCCTCCCAACCCCACTGGGTCTTTTGGAAGAGGGTGAGCACACAGCACCTGTTTAGCAGTGGGTGCCTGCCCTCCCAAGAGGCTTCTCCTGCTGCTCTCCAACCTTGAAGCTGCTTGTGGTCTTTGTTGAAACTAGGTGCTTGTTAGGGACGCCTGCTGGCTGACAGGCAGATTGCGTCCAGATGCTGAATCCGTGCTGTTTAAAGCCAATTAATCTCAGCCTTGGGGCTTTGGGGATCATCTGGAGATGGGATTTGTATGGAATCAGGGCAGGCTGTTCTGTGACGAGGTCAAAAGGAAAGGAGCACCATGCCGGCCAACTTACAGGGCCTTGGTGTGTGGGGCTTACCGTGGGTCCTGAGTGAGCCACAAAGCAGTGGAGAAGCTGGGCTCCCTCACTGGGTGGTGGGCCACATCACTTCCTGTGTGGATTTATCAGGCTGCTCTTCTGTGCAGAGCACAGAGACCTGGGAGTATGCATCTCATGTAGAGGGGTCAATGCCTGCCCTCTGCCTGGCCTGGCTGCCTGAAGCTTTTGAAAACGGGGTGACCCGCTGAGTCCTGAGACCTAGTGGGAAGGAACCTCACCAGTGAGGGGAGGCAGGCTGTTTGGGTCTGGAATAGCAGGTGTGCAGGAACTGGCAGATAAAGGCTTCAGGGAGCTGCTGGAGCCATGCAGGCTGGCCTCCATTCTTGATCTATCTTCTCTTACTGTGCCAAAACTCAAAGTCTGAGATCAGACTTTATTTTGAAAATGGCCAGGAGTCTTGGGCAGATTTGAGGCCAAATAAGATATGGTGATCAGATTCTCAGAAGACTGCTGGGCATGGTGGCGTGTGCCTATAGTCCCAGCTACTCAGGAGGCTGAGGCAGGAGGATTGCTTGAGCCCAGGAGTTCTGGGCTGAAGTGCGCTATGCTGTTCGGGTGTCTGCACTAAGTTCACCATCAATATGGTGACCTCCCAGTAGCAGGGAACCACCAGGTTGCCTAAGGAGGGAGCAGGTCAGAAATGGAGCAGGTCAAAACTCCTGTGCTGATCAGTAGTGGGATCACATCTGAATAGCCACTGCACTCCAGCCTGGGCAACATAGCAAGACCCCATCTCTTTAAAAAAAAAAAAAGAGAACAGATTCTCAGAAGAGTAACCCCCATGGGTGGCTGTGACCGATGAGTTAAAGAGTTGAGCCCTGTGGCAGAGGGCCTGATACAGGATGGTGCCTCAGGCAGTCCTCAGAGGAGAAGAGGCCCAGAGACCTCACAGACCTCAGACTCAGCAGAGAACTGTTGTTATGACTCAGGGGCACTGTGCAAAGGGTTCTGAGTCATCAAAAATCATAGTTACTCTTCTGAGAATCTGTTCTATTTAATTTTTTTTTTAAGTTTTGGAAACAGAGTCTCACTGTTGCCCCAGCTGGAGTGCAGAGGCATGATCTTGGCTCACTGTAACCTCTGCCTTCTGGATTCAAGTGATCCTCCTGGCTCAGCCTCCCAAGTAGCTGGGACTACAGGTGCCCACCACCATGCCCTGCTAATCTTTATATTTTTAGTAGAGATGGAGTTATACCATGTTGGCCAGGCTGGTCTTGAACTCCTGACCTCAGGTGATCTGCCTTCAAGGCTGGAGTGCAGTGGCATGATCTCAGCTCACTGTAACCTCCATCTCCTGGGTTCAAGCAATTCTCTTGCCTCAGCCTCCCAAGTATCTGGGATTACAGGCGCGTACCACCACACATGGCTAATTTTTTTGCTGTTGTTGTTTTGTTTTGTTTTTTGAGATGCAGTATCACTCTGTCATCCAGGCTGCACTGCAGTGCAGTGGTGCGATTTCGGCTCACTGCAACCTCCACCTCCCGGGTTCAAGCAATTCTCATGCCTCAGCCTCCCAAGTAGCTGGGACTACAGGCACGTACCACCATACCTGGCTAATTTTTTTGTATTTTTAGTAGAGATGGGGTTTCATCATGTTAGCTAGGATGGTCTCGATCTCCTGACCTCGTGATCCGCCTGCCTCGGACTCCGAAAGTGTTGGGATTACAGGCATGAGCCACCGCAAGCCTTATTTTTGTATTTTTAGAAGAGACAAGTGTTTGTCATGTGCTAGGCTGGTCTTGAACTCCTGACCTCAGGTGATCTGCCTACCTCAGCCTCCGAAAGTGCTGGGGTTACAGCTATGAGCCGCCATGTCCAGCTGTGGTGACTGTTGATAGGGAATGGGAGGTGGGTATTGTAGAAGGAAAGTTAAGGCCCCTAACTGTGTACCCGTACCTGCCTTTTCTTTACTGCAGTGGCCACCATGCTGCCACTGGGCTCGGAGCCGGCCCTGAATGAGCTACTGCTTCGAAAGGAGGAGGAATGGAGGGCACTGCAGGCCCGCCACACCCGGCTGCAGGAGGCGGCTCTGCAGGACACACAGAGCCAGCTGCAGGAGGCTCAGGGGAAACTGCGGTGCCTGCAGGAGGACTTTGTCTACAACCTGCAGGTTCTGGAGGAGCGGGACCTTGAGCTGAAGCGCTATGACGCCGCCTTCGCCCAGGCCAGGGAGTGGGAGGAGGCCCGGCGGGCGGAGGTGAGCGAGCTCAAGATAGAGGTGGCTAAGCTGAGGCAGGCGCTAGCCAGAGAGGCCAGGAAGGTGGAGGAGCTGCAGCAGCAGCAGCAGCTGGCATGGCAGGAGCATCACTTGGAGCTGGAGCGTGTGTACAGGTGAGCCACTACAGATGCACCTCCTGTGTAGTACCTGGCGGAGGCCCCCGAAGGCCTCCTGCTCCACCGAGCTGCCTGAGTGCTGTCCAATCTCACTGCCCCTCCTCCCGCTGCTGATTCCAGGACACGGGAGCTGGTCTGAGTGGCCGAGTGCCTCATGGCCTCTGAACACCTGTTTGTTGAGTGAATGTGAATCCCATGGAGGGGCTGTCTTTTTCAGGGTTCTGATACAACTCTGAAATTAATGGAGATTGTTTTAAATATTTGTAATTTATTTAATTAATTACAAATTTATATTATCTTAATAACACATATTTGAATTTATAATGATTTTAATATGAAGTCTGTAGTAATTTCAAAATTCAATGAGCTGACTTAAGGCGAGTCACCAAAAAACCTAAAGTCTTTGTTATGGAGTGTGTGGTGGGGCCCCTGGAACATACCCACATGCCTGGTATCCCCTCAGCTCCACTCACCCAGCCATGCTGTGGAGAGTTTGAGGAGACAGGAAGTAAGGGAGGGAACATTCTCTGATAAGCTCTTCCATCCCCCCACTTTGGAAGCACTGCATATTCATCATAGTACATTAGCTGTTAGATGCCCTTCCCCGTGTGATACGTGTGTATGGACATCAGAAGAGCCAGCTGCATGCTCTGTTTGCACTTCACAGGATCCTGGATATTTTTTCATGTTTTATATATTTTTCTAACATAAGCAGCATTTTTTTTTTGAGATGGAGTCTTGCCGTGTCACCCAGGCTGTAGTGCAGGGACGTGATCTTGGCTCACTGCAACCTCCATCTCCCAGGTTCAAGTGATTCTCTCACCTCGGCCTCTGGAGTACCTGGGACTACAGGTACCTGCCGCCATGCCTGGCTAATTTTTTTTTTGAGACAGAGTCTCACTCTGTCACCCAGGCTGGAGTGCAGTGGCATAATCTCAGCTCACTGCAATCCCTGCTGCCCAGGTTGAAGCAATTCTCTTGCCTCAACCTCCCAAGTAGCTGGGCTAACAGGCATCTACTACCATACCAGGTTAATTTCTGTAATTTTAGTAGAGACAGGATTTCACCATCTTGGCCAGGCTGGTCTTGAACTCCTGACCTTGTGATCCACCCACCTCAGCCTCCCAATGTGCTGGGATTACAGGCATGAGCCACCACACCCAGCCTTTTTTTTTCCCTCCTTTTTGTATTTTTACTAGACACAGGGTTTTGCCATGTTGCCCAGGCTGGTCTTGAACTCCTGACCTCAGGTGATCTCCTGACCTCAGGTGGTCCATTGGCCTCAGCCTTGCAAAGTGCTGGGATTACAGGTGTGAGCCACCACGCCTGGCCATAAGCAGCTTTTTAAAGCACTTTTTAAAGCCACAGGAGTAAACTGTTCTTATCATAGAAGGTCATTTCTTACAGATGATGATACAGTGGAATGTCCAAGTGAAAGCCACTACGGGCAGTCTGTTGTGTCATAAATAGAGCCTCCCGTGCACACTGCTTCGAAATGTGTATACCTTTGGTAAATATTTGTTATAGCTGTTCTTAATGCTGTTTTATTACAATAGTGACAAGAATGGTGAGATTGACCACCACCGGGAACAATATGAAAATCTCAAATGGAGGCTGCAGAGAAAACTTGAGGAGCTCGACAGTGAGCTTGCTCTGCAGAGACAGGTACAGCCTCTGGGGGTCGGCCCTTCCTGGGTGCTTTTCCCGCCTGCCCACTGTGAAACTGAAATCATATAGAGTTGAGGAAAAGACAACCATTGGGTTCATTGCCTGTATTCTCCTTGGGAGTAAAGTGGGGTCACTGGGGCAGATGCCACTCTGGGATGCACTGCAGGGAAACAGGATGGGATGTCTACATGTAGCCACTCTCAGTGTTTCCTTTCCTCATGGATTAGTCAGGGTTCTCCAGGGAAACAAGCAATAGGAGATGTGTAGATGTATAGGAGATAAATTGTAGGAAATTGACTCATGCAGTTATGGCAGCCATGAAGTCCCACAGTTTGCCCTCTGCAATCTGGAGAACCTGGGAAGCTGGCGGTGTAATTCAGTCCAGGTTCAAAGCCCTGAGCACGAGGGAGCCACTGATGTGAGTCCTGATCCATTTCTGAAGGCCCAAGACACAGGAGCCCGATGTCCGAGGGCAGTAGAAGGTGAATGTCTTAGCTCAAGCAAAGAGAGCGAATTCACCCTTCCTTACATTTTGTTCCATTCAGGCCCTCAGTGGATTAGATGGTGCCCATCCACACTGAGGAGGAAGGATCATCTCTACTTCGTCTATGAATTCAAACACTAATCTCTTCTGGAAGCACCCTTGCAGACACTCCCCGAGATAATATTTTACCAGCTATCTGGGCTGCCCTTAGCCCAGTTGTTTGCCACATGAAATTAACCAGCATACCTCAGAAATGATGAAACTTTTAAATTTATTTTTAGAAAACATATAATTTTAAAAACATGAGGTATTTACTGTAGAAAATAGTTTGGAATTCCAATTATGGTAAGTTTGAAAACAGATGTTCCAACTGACAATTGGCAGTCACCAAATTTCTCCTCAGGGGTTCTTGAAACTAAGGCTACACCTCCAAGAGACTCATCTGTGCTGGGGTTTTGTGGAAGGACATCCAATAGAATTATATCCAGAGACCACATTCAGAGATGCTGCCACTGTGTGCACATGTGACAAGGGGTTGTGTCTCTTCGTGTACAAGTGTGATGAGGGCTGTATCTATGCAGGTGCAGGAGTCACGAGGGGCTGTGTCTGTGCAGGTGCAGGAGTCACGAGGGGCTGTGTCTGTGCAGGTGCAGGAGTCACGAGGGGCTGTGTCTGTGCAGGTGCAGGAGTCACGAGGGGCTGTGTCTGTGCAGGTGCAGGAGTCACGAGGGGCTGTGTCTGTGCAGGTGCAGGAGTCACAAGGGGCCATGTCTATGCAGGAGTCATGAGGGGCTATGTCTCTGCAGGTGTCATAAGGGGCTTCTTCTCTGAAGGTACAGGTGTGACGAGGGGCGCATTCATGCAGGCGCAGGTGTCACGTGGGGCTGCACCTGTGTAGGTGTAATAAGTGGCTCTGTGCAAGTAGATGCAAGTGTTAGAAGAGGCTGTGTCTACAGGTGTCATGAGGGGCTGCTTCTGTGAAGGTGCAGGTGTGACATGGGGCTCTGCTTGTAGAGGTTTAATAAGTGGCTCTGACAGTGTAGGTAGGTGCAAGTGTTAGAAGAGGCTGTGTCTATGCAGGTCTCATGAGGGGCTGCCTCTGTGCAGGTACAGCAGTGATGAAGGGCTTTGTGCAGGTGTGACAGGGTTTCCTCTTGTCCTGTCGGATGTTGGGAGTTTGGTTGTGTTGAGAATTTGCCACAGTCAGGTCAGCAGAGAAGGAGGCCACACCCATGTCATTATGCCTCTTGTGTGGACTTGCTGTCCAGTTGTGCCTGGAAGCAACTCCCTTGTTCACAGGTCCCTGAGGCTGCTTCTGAAATGGCCTGGAGAGGACTTTCTCTTGGAATTCTCAGGGACTAAAGAGCTTTGTCAATTACAGGTGGACTTGACTTTCAGAACAGCTAGAGTTCTTTAGGCATGAAGCCAGCGTCTAAAATTTGTGGTCAAGAAGAGACCAGTGATGACTTTTATAAGTAATGAGGCTTTCTCAAGTGGCTCCAGGTCACTTTCAAAGAAGGAGTTTGAGGAGGATCCAGCTGTGGGTGGTCCTGCCTAGCAGGTGGGGAGCTCTCAGCAGCATTTGGGGACAGTGGCGATTTGAGGCTGGTTGTAGTTGGTGGGGCACAGCCATTCTTGTTAGGGTTTCTGGCTGGGCCGTGACTCTGGCTGACTTCTCAGGCTGTCCATGCCGAGCTTCTCAGACTCAGCAGGGCTTGTTCAGGGAGAGCCCTCTCAGATTGTGGGGAACATGGACTTTTTTAATCGTGTTCAGATAGTAGCCTCGTCTCTGGAAGGAAGGAAATGTGATGTTTTAATGTAGCAGCGCTGGTTACTATGGGCAATTTTGGCGGCACATATCTAGTGTGGCCTTGGGGAGTGTGATCCTGTGTGGGCTCTGGGATGCTGGCACTGGCTGTCGGGAAGCTCTGCTCTGCTGCTGGCATTTCAGACTTTTAGTTACTAAGCTGGGGTCTTAGATGCTTGTCAGTTTCATGGTTTCCTTTGGTCTGATTTCTTGTCTCTTGTTTCGAAAGATCTTTGTGTTTATTATTGTCAGAGGTAGAATTGACTCAATAGAGATGAGGATTTCTTTTTCTTCTTTTTTTTTTTTTGTAGAGACAGGGTCTCACTATGTTGCGCAGGCTGGTCTTGAACTCCTGGGCTCAAGCAATCCTCCCTCCTCAGCCTCTCAGGGTGCTGTTATTGGTGTCACTGACCCCAGCTTCTCTCCTTGACAGTGTGTATGGTTCTTCTCTGTTGACCACTGTGTCCTGCTCACCTCTGGATCCCACCTCCTAGGACACGGGTGGGAGGGTCTTTGCTGGGTTCCCACTGTTCTTTCACCATAAAACCTGTTTGTTCCAGAAACTGCTGCTGGAGTTTGAATCGAAAATGCAGAAGAGGGAGCACGAATTCCGTCTGCAGGCTGACAACATGAGCAACACAGCCTTGTCCCAGGAGCTCAAGGTAACTGGGAGCACCCTTTGGTCTTGAAGTTTTTTGGATTTTCCTTGGCCAGGTGTGGTGGCCATACCTGTCATCCCAGCACTTTGGGAGGCCAAGGCAGGAGGATCCCTTGGGCCCAAGAGTTTGAGACCAGCCAGCAGGTGGGCCATATGGATGCCCTGTACCCCATGGCAGGGTGGGTACTCCTGTCAAAGGTGGGCATTGGGTGCCAGTTCACTTCCACCTCCAACTGCTGTGTGAATTGGTCACAGCCTTGGACACTGTGATGCCCCATGATGAAAGGGGCAGAAGAAAGTAGGAAAAGCAGGAGCTGAGTCTCAGTGCCTGCTTGTGCAGGGTGTGGCCTGGTCCTCACACCAGTGGACTTGGGCACAGCAGCCATCGTCACTGCCAGTGGCTTACAGGCTGGGAAGCAGGCCCCAGGAGGTACTAAAGAGCTCAGGGTGCAGCTAGGACTTGTGTTTAATTTTCTTATTTAAATAACATGCAAATTATGTGCTAAGAAACAAAGTACAGTTAAATTGGTCTATTGGGCTTGGACATGTATGGGGCACCCTAATGGGACTGATTTTGGTGGGGTGCTGAGTGCTGTTAGAGGGTCATTGAAGGCCAGGTGTCGTGGCTCATGCCTATGATCTCAACACATTGGGAAGCTAAGGCGTGTGGATCACCTGAGGTCAGGAGTTCAAGACCAACATGAGGAAACCCTGTCTCTACTGAAAATACAAAAATTATCTGGGGGTGGTGGTGGGTACCTTTAATCCCAACTACTGAAGAGGCTGAGGCAGGAGAAATCACTTGACCTGGGAGGCGGAAGTTGCATTGAGCCGAGATTGTACCACTGCTCTCCAGCCTGGGCGACAGAGCAAGACTGTCTCCAAAAAGAAAAATGGTCATTGAGTCTCATCTGAGTTGTTTTAGTACATTCTCACTGTTTTATTGCTGCCTGAATTTTCATTTTTCTTCTCCTTCACAATCCTGATAAAATGGCAGTATGTACCCCTAATGCCACGGTGTCTTCTAATTATTGCCTCATTTTGAACTGTTTTATTGTCATTCAAAGGTTAAACTACTGCACAAAGAGCTGGAGGCTCTGAAGGAAGCTGGGTCGAAGGCTGCAGAGAGTCTGCAGAGGGCAGAGACCACCAATGCCAAGCTGGAGAGGAAGCTCCAGAGCCGCACCCAGGAGCTCCGGGATCTTGAAGCTGTGAGTGACGCCTGGTGCGTGAGTCCTTTATGTCCTCCTGAGATGCGCTCTGTGGCAGTGTCGCAGGCCTGGACCAGAGTCTGGGAGATTCTGCCTTTTCTGCTCATTCCAGGCTGGTCTTTGCTTTCATCTCATCTGCTTCTTCCATCAATATTTGTTTCTTTTCAGGGTAAAGGACTTAGAGGACAAACTTCACTCCGTGCAGTTAACTAAGAAGAAAGAAGAGGAAACATTTAAGAGGAAGTGAGTGGTTTGCCTCCCAACATCGTGCAGTGTGTCAGTGGCCCCAGGAGAGGAGGGAAGTGGAGCCACTGTCCTGATGGCCCAGGGAGCAAAGGGTCCCACTCTGGGGATTGCACCTGAGAACCACTATGCCGATGGCCCAGGGAGCAAAGGATCCCACTCTGGGGGTCCGGCCTGGGAACCTGCCGCTTTGGATTTCTTTCTTTTCTTTTTTTTTTTTGAGACAGGGTCTTGCTCTGTACCCAGGCTAGAGTGCAGTGGTGTGATCTTGGCTCATTGCAGCCTCCCCTCCTGGGTTCAAACAATTCTCGTGTCTCAGCCTCCTAAGTAGCTGGGACTAATGGTTAGCACCACTATTCCCAGCTAATTTTTGTCATTTTAGTAAAGGCGATGGTCTCACCATGTTGGCCAGGTTGGGCTTGAACTCTTAGCCTCAAATGATCTACCCACCTCTGTGGCTTCCCAAAGTGCTGTGATTATAGGCACGAGCCAGCACACCTTGGTTTGGATTTCTGTTTATGCCCTGCTCTGGACTTTTTCAGTGATATTGAGACTTTTTTTTGTGCTGTAAAACATAAACCTTGGACTACCAGCAGTGGCAAGATCACCTGAGTCCGGGAGATTAAGGCTGTAGTAAGCCATGGTTGTGCCACTGTACTCCAGCCTGGGCCTTAGAGTGAGACCCTGTTTCAAAAACAAAACAAAACAAAAAGCAAACTTAAAATCTTTAACACCTGGCTGGGCACGGTGGCCCACACCTGTAATCCCAGCATTTTGGGAGGCCTAGGTGGGTAGATCACCTGAGGTCAGGAGTTTGAGACCAGCCTGGCCAACATGGTGAAACCCTGTCTCTACTAAAAACAGAAATTAGCTGGGCATCATGGCGGGCACCTGTAATCCCAGCTACTTGGGAGGCTGAGGTAAGAGAATCGCTTGAACCCAGGAGGCAGAGATCGCAGTAACCCAAAATCGTGTCATTGTACGATTTTGCCTGGGTGACAGAACAAGACTTCATCTCAAGAAAAAAAAAAACAAGCCCTTCCACATAATTGTGGAAGCTTTTCTCTCTTATTTTTTTCTTTCTCCTTTTTCTCTTTTCTCTGCCTAAATAAATCACTCTGTAAAACAAAAACAAAACAAAACAAAAAACAGAAAATCATAAGAGGCCAGGCCCAGTGGCTCATACCTGTAATCCCAGCACTTTGGGAGGCTGAGGCAGGAAGATCACTGAGGTGAAGAGTTCAAGACCAGCCTGGCCAATATGGAGAAACTCCGTCTCTACTAAAAATACAAATTGAGCTGGGCATTGGTGGTGCATGCCTATAATCCCAGCTACTTGGGAGGCTGAGGCAGGAGAATCACTTGAACCCAAGAGGCAGAGATTGCAGTGACCTGAAATCGCACCACTGCACTCCAGCCTAGGTGACAGGACAAGACTCCATCTCGAATTAAAAAAAAGAAAAGCATAAAAGACCAGGCTAAGTGGTTCATGTGTGTAATCCCAACACTTTGGGAGGCTGAGGCAGGAAGATCACTTGAGATCAGGAGTTTGAGACCAGCCTGGCCAAGCCTGGCCAACATGGTGAAACCCCATCTCTACTAAAAATATAAAATGAGTCAGGCATGGTGGTGCATGCCTGTAATCCCAGCTACTTGGGAGGCTGAGGCAGGAGAATCGCTTGAACCTGGGAGGTGGAGGTTTTTGAGACTCTGTCTCAAAAAAAAAAAAAAAGAAAGAAAGAAAAGAAAGTAGAAGTAGAAGTAGGTTGGGTGCAGTGGCTCACACCTATAATTCTAGCACTTTGGAAGGCAATGTAGGCAGAGTGCTTCAGCTCAGGAGTTCAAGACCAGCCTAGGCAATGTGGCAAAACCCCTTCTCTACAAAAAATACAAAAAATTAGCCAGGTGTGGTGGCTCACACCTGTAGTCCCAGCTACTTGGGGGGGCGGGGTGAGGCAGGAGGATCACTTGAATCTGGGAGGTGGAGGCTGCAGTGAGCCAAAATAGTGCCATGGCACTCTAGCTTAGATGACAAAGTGAAACCCTGTCTAAAAAACAGAAATCATAAAAAGGGAAAATATGTTTATTGTTCATTAAGTGGAAGTGGATCATCTTGTAGCTCTTCATCTTCATCATCTTCACATTGACGAGGTTGAGGAGGAAAAGGTAGAGGAGGGGCTGTCTGCGGTGGCAAAGGTGGAGGAGGTGGAAGGGAGGGCAGGAGAGGCAGGCATTCTTGGTATAACTTCGTGAAAACACATTGTAATTCCATCTGACTTTTTTGCTTTTTCATTTCTCTAAAAATATTTCTATACGATGCAATCCCACTTTCTCACCTGTCTCAGTGCCCATGTCATAGACAGGTCCACGTCATAAAAAGTCAAAGCAGGTGTGAATGGTGGGAGCCCTTCTGCAGGAGTGCCTGTCTCTTGTCCGTGTGTTTTCCTAGCACTGCTTCATCGTCTGGCACCGGTTCAGAAGCACTCATCCCCACTGAGTCAGCTCCTGTTAATTCCTCTGGTGTCAGTTAGCTCTAGGATTTCTCCAAGATCCATGGTGAAATCCTCCACCCCCACCCCCTATCCTGACGACAGCTAGACACAGTTTTCTTCATCAGGAATTTATTATTTAGGGCTTGACAGCTTCCATGGCTTTTTTATAGCAGTGATGGCTTCTTCAGTGGTGGAACCCTTCCACAGACCATGTCAACTTGCTGTTGAACTCATAGGTTCTGGGTGGCAAGAAGCATTGTCCATTATTAGAACATTTTTTTTTTCTTGAGACAGATTCTTGCTCTGTTGCCCAGGCAGATGGTGCAGTGGTGCAATCTCAGCTCACTGCAACCTCTGCCTCCTGAGTTCAAGTAATTCTCATGCCTCAGCCTCCTAAGTAGCTGGGATTACAGGCCTGCACCACCACACCTGGCTACTTTTTGTATTTTTAGTAGAGATGGAGTTCGCCATGCTGGCCAGGCTGGTCTCAAACTCTTGTCCTCAAGTGATCCACCCACCTTAGCCTCCCAAAGTGCTGGGATTACAGGGGTGAGCCACTGTACCCAGACTGGATTCATGTGTTTTAAAATGACCAGCAGCTGCAGACCTGTCTTGTAAATGCATGACTTTCCTCTGCTCACTTCCAGTATCACTAGTGGCACTTTGCATAGGTCCCATGGTGTTATTAAACATTTACAGTATTACATTAAACACAGTGAAAAATAAGTAAGAACCTTGAGAAGTCACTCTATATTGGGATATGCAATGTACTAGAGAGACAAACTGCTCACATGGAGGTGATTAGTGTCACATGATTTTTTGTTTGTTTGTTTGTTGAGATGGAGTTTTGCTTTTTTTTTTTGAGATGGAGTTTCGCTCTTGTTACCCAGGGTGGAGTGCAATGGCGCGATCTCGGCTCACCGCAACCTCCGCCTCCTGGGTTCAGGCGATTCTCCTGCCTCAGCCTCCTGAGTAGCTGGGATTACAGGCACGCGCCACCATGCCCAGCTAATTTTTTGTATTTTTAGTAGAGACGGGGTTTCACCATGTTGACCAGGATGGTCTTGATCTCTTGACCTCGTGATCCACCCACCTCGGCCTCCCAAAGTGCTGGGATTACAGGCATGAGCCACCGCGCCCGGCTGGAGTTTTGCTCTTTTTGTCCAGGCTGGAGTGCAATGGCATGATCTTGGCTCACCGCAACCTCTGCTTCCTGGGTTCAAGGGATTCTGCTGCCTCAGCCTCCCTAGTAGCTGGGATTACAGACGCCCACCACCATGCCCAGCTAATTTTTATATTTTTAGTAGAGATGGGGTTTCACTATGTTGGCCAGGCTGTTCTTGAACTCTTGACCTCAAGTGATCTGCCCGCCTCAGCTCCCAAAGTGCTGGGATTGCAGGTGTGAGCCACCGCGCCCGGTGAGTCACATGGTGTTTTAAGCAGATACTGGAAACACTCACCATAATAGCAGCAGGAAGTTCAAGTGGCTACAAAATTACTGCAATGGTGTGGTTCTGACTGCAGTTAACTGTGTGCAGTTGTTTAATAGCGCATTTTTGCATTCGTTTCCATTCCCCTGGACTGCAGCTAGCTCAGTGTAAGTTCTGTAAGTGTTCGTGTGCATATATTTTGATAACTTTAAAAAATCGATTTGTGTATATTTTGTGGTAGTACATGATAAAATTAGTATATATATTTTATGCTTTCATGACAATTTAACTTTTTCTTAATTTTTTCAGTATTTTTAGGCTATGTAGTCTAAGAACTTTTCCAAATTGTTACAAACCTCAAAAAAATTTTCCAATATACATATTGAAAACAATTCTCATGTAATAATTCCTCACAGTCAAAACCCCTATTGTTCAAGGGTCAACTATAGTTGAAAATGAGTATAATTTCTAGCATTAATAAATAAAACTGTTTAGTGACTCTTTAAAATATTTATTTTTAAAAATTAAAATAATTTCTTTCTTTTTTTTATTTCTCAGCCCTCACTACTCCTACTTTAAAATGTTTCTAGTGTAGGCGGGACACAGTGGCTTACACTTGTAATCCCAGCACTCTGGGAGGCTGAGGCAGGAGAATCCCTTGAACTCAGCAGTTTGAGATCAGCCTCGGCAACATAGGGAGACTGAGGCAAGAGGATCACCTGAGCATGGGAGGTCAAGGTTGCAGTGAGCCGAGGTCACAACAGTGCACTCCAGCCTAGGTAACAGCGAGACCCAGTCTCAAAAAAATAAATAAATAAATAGGAAATAAATAAATAAAATAAATTCTAATCTAAATACCATAGTGATTTAATACCCACTAACAAGGCTGGTGGCTCAAGCCTGTAATCCTAGCACTTTGGGAGGCCAAGGCGGGGGGGGATCACTTGAGGTCAGGTGTTCAAGACCAGCCTGGCTGACGTGGTAAAGTCTCTAAAAAGACAAAAATCAGTCAGGCATGGTGGGGGCCACCTGTAATACCAGCTACTCGGGAGGTGAGGCAGGAGAATTGCTTGAACTCGGGTAGTGGAGGTTGCAGTGAGCAGGGATCACGCCACTGTACTCCAGCCTGGACAAAAGAGTAAGACTCCATCTCAGAAACAAAAACAAAACACCACTATCATTGATTTCAAAAAACTACCCGAACTAGCTTTTCTGTAGCAGTTAGAAATTTTACATTATTCCTTTTCCCTTGAACTGTTTCCAGTCCACTTCCCCACAGAATTTTATATGAATATGATATATTTTTGTATTTGAATGCATTTGAAACCAATCACCTGTAACAACAAAATAGTCATATAAACTATATGATGTAGTATATACTAAATATGGTGTGTTCATATAAACTAAAAATAATAAAATTTGCTTGGGTCACAAGGCTCTAAGTGTTCAGAAGGCTTTTAATTAAGATACTGTTATAATTATTGGTATACACATTCTAAAACAATACAAGATACCATAAAATTCAGCAATTATTAAGTAAAATATAAACTATTCTTGGGAATGCTCCATCTCCTGAGACCTTTGGGGCCACCCCCAAGTCCATTCACAAGAGCCTGGCCCCCACAGGCATGACCAGACAGGATGGAGCAACTGCTTTCGGCAGCATCCTGCATGCTCTGAACTTTCCAGTTTTGTGCCGGTAGTCACCTGGTGAATTCCCCTCAAGAATGAGTTTTTTTATTTTGTATTTATTTATTTTATTTTTTAAATTTAATTTTATTTATTCATTTATTTTTTTGAGATGGAGTCTTGCTCTGTCGCCCAGGCTGGAGTGCCATGGTGCGATCTCAGCTCACTGCAACCTCAGTCTCCCAGGTTCAAGCACTTCTGCTGCTTCATGTGCACCCGTCACCATGCCCAGCTAATTTTTGTATTTTTAGTACAGAGTTTCACCATGTTGGTGGGGCTGGTCTCGAACTCCTGACCTCATGATCTGCCTGCCTTGGCCTCCCAAAGTGCTGGGATTACAGGGGTGAGCCACTGCACCCAGCCTCATTTTATTGTTTTGAGAGGAAGTTTTGCTCTTGTTGTTCAGGCTGGAGTGCAGTGTCATGATCTCACTACATGGCTCACTACAACCTCTACCTCCCAGGTTCAAGCAGTTCTCCTGCCTCAGCCTCCCAAGTAGTGTTACAAGCATGCGCCATCACCCCTGGCTAATTTTGTATTTTTAGTAGAGACAGGGTTTTACCATGTTAGGCTGGTCTCAAACTCCTGAGCTCAGGTGATCCGCCTCCCTTGGCCTCCCGAAGTGTTGGGATTACAGGTGTGAGCCACTGCACTCAGCCTATTTATTTTGAGATGATGTCTCACTCTTTTGCCCAGGCTGGAATGCAATGGCATGATCTTGGCTCACTGCAACCTTTGCCTCTCAGGTATAAGCAATTCTCCTGCCTCAGCCTCCTAAGTAGCTGCGATTACAGGCATGCGTCACCATACCTGGCTCATTTTTGTATTTTTTTTAGTGGAGGCTGGGTTTTGCCATGTTGACCAGGCTGGTGGTCTCAAACTCTTGACCTCAAGTGATCTGCACTCCTCAGCTTCCCAGTGCTGGGATTACAGGTGTGAGCCACTGCGTCTGGCCAAGAATGATTTTAAGTAATCCATGAGCTGATAATTGAATGAGCTTCTCCAACTTGGTGGAAGCAGAGAGCTGGCATTGGCCTTACCAAGGGGACTGAAACCTGGTTAGCAGAGCCATTCGCGCTCTCAGTCCCAGGAGGGTTAGATCAAAGACTTCACTGAGATGGCTTACATAACATTCCCTATCCCTGACAGCACTCTACTTACTAGAATCTAATATGCTCAGAGGGGAGGAAACCAACAGGTACGTCTTCTTTTTTAAATTTTTGTTTAATACTTTTGCTAATGTGGTGTTTTTTGTTTTGTTTTATTTTTGAGACAGGTTCTCACTGTGTCACCCAGGCTGGAGTGCAGTGGCACCATCAGGCTCACTGCAGCCCCGACCTCCTAGGTTCAGGCGATCCTTCCACTGCAGCTTCCCAAGTGGCTGGGACTGTGGGCGCCATCACCACAAAGGCTAATTTGTTGTTTTTGTAGAGGGTATTTTGTCGTATTGCCCAGGCTTGTCTCCAGTTCCTGGGCTCAAGCGATCTACCTGCCTTGGCCTCCCAAAATGTTTGGGTTACAGGTATGAGCCACTGTGTCCAGGTGCTAATGCATATTTTTAAAGTAAAATGCTTTTGCCAGGCAAAGTAGTATGGCCTGTAAGCCCAATTACTTGGGAAGCTGAGGTGAGAGGATTGCTTGTGTTCAAGGCCAGGCTGCGCAACATAGCTAGACTTTGTCCCTAACTGGAAAATAAATAGGCTGGGTGTGGTGTGGCTCAGTAGACCTGTCTGGTTGCCAGATGCAAGGCAATGAGCATCTACCTGTTTTTGTTTTTGAAGGTTGATGGGAGTCCTGCCAGTGGTGGTCAAGCTATACTCTATGCATCTCCTTTTGGTGTCCTTCTCCAGGGAGCTGTGGGCTCTGGAGGGTGGGCCAGGGGCCTGGCATCTAAGAGTGGTTTGGTCCATGTTAGTCTGAGAGGAATGAGGAGCAGGTGGCTGCTGCAAAGCCCCGAAGCAGACATACAGCAGGACCCTTGCCTGAGGCAGGGGGATGAATGCCTCCAGAGAGGGTCTGGGCCTGGGTGTTGGGGGCCAGGTGAGCACCATGGGACCCTCACTGTGTTTCAGGCATGAGGAGCTCGACCGTCTGGCCAGGGAGAAGGATGCGGTGCTGGCAGCAGTGAAGGGAGCCCACATGGAGCAGCTGCGGGAGCTGCAGGCCAGGGTTCTGGAGCTGCAGGCCCACTGCGAGACCCTGGAGGCGCAGCTCCACAGGGCAGAGTGGAGGCAGGCAGACGCTGCCAAGGAGAAGGACGCTGCCATTGACCGGTGAGTGTGTGCTCAGCTCAACCCAGAGGCTGAGGCAGGGGCGTCCGTGGCTGTGCTGACCTGGGCAGGCCCACTGGGTGCCAGACCACAGGAGTGGGCCAGGCAGTAGACAGGGAGAAGTTATGTAGCTCTCTGGTCACTTTTCTTCACCACTCTTTTTTTTTGTGAAATTGTGTAGTTTCTCTGTATGTATGCATTCATCTGTTTATGGTAAGAGATGCATAACATAAAATTTGCCATCTTAACCATTTATTAGTATACAGGTCAGTGGCAGTGGCATTGAGCACATTCACATTGTTGTGCAGCCATAACCACTGTCATCTGCAGAATTTTCCATCTTCCCAAACTGAAGCTCTGACCTATTACACACCAGCTTCCCACCCTGCCAGCTCCCCGACACCCTGCCAGCTCTCTCCTGCCCCACCAGCTCCCCTAACCCGAACCAGTTTCCCACACCCCCACCAGCTCCCCCCTGCCTCCACCAGCTCCCCCACTCCCCTGCCACATCCCCCCCGCCCTGCTAGCTCCCACATACCTCCACCAGCTCCCCCCTGCCCCCACCAGCTCCTCCACACCCCCACCAGCTCCCCCCACAGCCCCACCAGAACAGCCCCCACTCACCAGCCCCTGGCCACCTCCGTTCTACTTGCTGCCTCTATGGATTCAGCCAGGCTGGGGACCTCCTGTGAGTTAGAATCATGCAGTATTTGTCCTTTTAGGACTTGCTTATTTCACTTGGCATAATGTCCTCAAAGATAGTCCACATTTTAACGTGTGTCAGAATGTCATTCCTTTTCTTTGAATTTTAAAATTGTGGTAAAATACACAACATAAAATATAGTATCTTAACTATCTCTTCTTTTCTTTATTTTTTATATTGATCATTTTCAAGTGTACAGTTCAGTGGCATTAAATCTGAATTTTTTTCCTTTTTAAGGCTGAGTCATATTCCCTTGTCTGGATGGACCAGGTTTTGTTTATCCATCTGTCCGTTAATAGATGTGTGGATTGTTTCCATCTTTCGTTTCATATGAATAATACTGCCATGATCCTCAGTTACAAATATCTCTTTGAAACTGTGCTTCCAGTTCTTCCGTGCATAGACACAGAGTGGAATTAATGAGTCTATAATTCTGTGCTTAGCTTTTGAGGAGCCACATTTCTGCTTTCCAGTGGCTGCACCACATCCCCACCAACAGCCCAAGCTGTACTCCATACGCCTCCTTTTGGTGTCCTTCTCCAGGGAGCTGTGGGCTCTGGAGGGTGGGCCAGGGGCCTGGCATCTAAGAGTGGCCTGGTCCATGTTAGCCTGTGAGGAATGAGGAGCAGGTGGCTGCTGCGAAGCCCCAAGGCAGACATACAGCAGGACCTGTGCCCGAGGCAGGGTGATGAATGCCTCCAGAGAAGCATTAATATTTTTAAATATTATTTTTAAAATTAAAATACTCATTCAGTTCAGTTACTCATTCATTAGTTCCTTTTTTTTTTTTGAGACGTAGCCTCACTGTCACCCAGGCTGAAGTGCAGGTGTGAGATCGCACCAGGCTGGTGTGCAGCCTTTGCCTCCCGGGTTCAAGTGATTCTCCTGCCTCAGCCTCCCGAGTAGCTGGTATTACAGGTGCCCACTACCATGCCCAGCTAATTTTTGTATTTTTGGTAGAGATGGGGTTTCACCATGTTGGCCAGGCTGGTCTCAAACTGCTGACCTCAGGCGATCCGCCCACCTCAGCCTCCCAAAGTGCTGGGATTACAGGTGTGAGCCACAGTGCCTGGCCACTAGTTTCTTTTTAAACCCAGTTTCCTTTCTAGTGCCTAAGCCAGGCCAGGGCATGTGCCGGGGCATATGGGCAGCCCTGTTCCACCTGCCTGGTGTGCAGGGTGACATGTATACAAGCTACGCCATTGCAGTGACAGTGAAGTGTTAGCACAGAGTTCCAGACCCCTGACTCCCACTAAACATGTGATCCATGGAGAGACTGTATTTAATGATGACACTCAAGACAAATAAGTCATTTTCTAGTATTTATTACACTTAGCCACTGGCTTTTTCTCTTTGTTTAGGAAAATTTCTGCTGCTTTTTTATGGAGAATTTTCTTTCTTTTTTTGAGACAGGGTCTTACTCTGTTGCCTAGGCTGGAGTACAGTGGTGCAATTATGGCTCACTGCAGCCTTGACCTCACAGGCTCAAGTGATCCTCCCACCTCAGCCTCCCCAGTAGCTGGGACTACAGGTATATGCCACCATGCCCAGCTAATTTTTGTATTTTTTTTGTAGAAATGGGGTTTCTCCATGTTTCCTAAACTGGTCTCAAACTCCTGGACTCAAGTGATCCTCCCACATTGGTCTCTCAAAGTATTGAGATTACAGACGTCAGCCACTGCCAACAGAGAATTCTCTGCCAAATTGTATTTTGGTTTAAGGGGGAAATGGCTCTTGGAAGTATACCGGGAAGTCAAAGTCTTATTTAGGGTCATTTCCTAGACTCAGCATGCTGTTTTGTTGTTTCATCAGTCAGATTCAAGCAGAGTGGTTAAAGCCACCACGCATGGGAGGCCCCTGCAGCCTCTGTGGTCGGCGTGTGGGGTAAGAGGGGCTGCAGGTGCTTCCATGTCCTGGGTAGTGTGGCCGAGGGGACTGGGCCTCACCGCTCCTGTGTGCCTGGCCTTGGCCTCCCCTCGCAGTCTTAAGCTAAATGTTGTTCTTGAATGTCTTTTCGTTTTCTGTCCATAAATACTCTTTGGTTGTTAAGAATTATTACTACGCATACACAGTATTATTTTGGCAGTAAGAAACAGACTTCTACATTCTAAAGCTTATATCTTTTCCCTTTTACTTCTGGGAAGTTCGGTTATCGTTCTGATCCCATGATCCTAAGTATGAGTTAGCATTAAATGATGACCTTGACTGGGCACAGTGGCTCACACCTATAATCCTGGCACTTTGGGAGGCTAAGACAAGAGGATCACTTGAGCCTGGGCAGCAAATGTCTACCCCCAAAAAAATTATATGGTGGCACTTACCCATACTCCTAGCTACTCAGGAGGCAGAGCAAGACCCTGTCTCTAAAAAATTAGTATTTTTAAAATTAAAAAATTAGAAATAAATAAATGAAAGCCTTATTTATTTCAGTTCCTTTTTTTCTTTTTAAAAAAATCTTATTTGTTTATTTTATTTTTTGAGATGGAGTTTCCCTCTTGTTGCCCAGGCTGGAGTGCAAGGGCACAATCTCAGCTCACACAACCTCCGCCTCCCATAGTCAAGCAATTCTCCTGCCTCAGCCTCCTGAATAGCTGGCATTATAGGCATGTGCCATAGCGCCTGGCTAATTTTGTATTTTTTTAAAGGGGTCATGCTTCCTGCCCACACCCCTCCCGGAGCCCCAGCAGGGACGTGTAGGGGCGTGCCCCAATTTGTATTTTTTTTTCTTTTTTTTTTTTTTTTACAATCGCACATGTACCTTTCATTTATGCTAAGGAAGATTTCTGCACACTCTTTTTAAATTTTATTTATTTTTTATTTTTTTAAAGAAAGAAAAAAAGGAGTGAAGAAGAGGAAGAAAGAGGGAGAGAGAACAGGAATGTAGCTTTATTCTAAAAATGGGTATTAATAATGGCCGATCAATATTTTGTGTATTTAAGGTGGAGAATGTATATTTTGTGTATTTAAAGTGGAGCGCTCTATAAATATTTATTGAGTTTACTTGTTCCGGATCTGAGTTCAAGTCCTGGATATCCTCATTAATTAATCCTGTATTTTTTTTTAATTTTACTGGAGATGGGGTTTCTCCATATTGGTCAGATTGGCCTCCAACTCCCAACCTCAGGTGATCCGCCCACCTTGGCCTCCCAAAGTGCTGGGATTACAGGCATGAGCCACCACTCCTGGCCATTATTATTATTATTATTATTATTATTTTAAATAAAGTAGAAATGGAGTCTCCCCATGTTGCCCAGGACTGTCTCAAACTCCTGGATGTAAGTGATCCTCTCATCTCAGCCTCCTAAAGTGCTGGGATTATAGGCATGAGCCACCACTCCAGGCCAGCTTTGTAGTTCTTAATAGCTTTTTCAGCAGTTTTGTGCTGGTTTGGAGTTTGGAACTACAGAGAAAACCTGTAGGATTAACGTGAAAGCATTTTTTTTCCTTTCTGTTTTTTTTTTTTTTTTTTGAGACAGGATCTCACTCTGTCATCCAGGCTAGAGTGCAGTGACATGATCGCGGTTCACCACAGCCTATACTTCGTGGGGTTAGGTGATCCTCCCACCTCAGCCTCCTAGGTAGCTGGGGCTGCAAGTGTGCTCCACAATACCCGGTGAATATTTTTTTTTCTGAGAAGGAGTCTTGCACTGTCGCCCGGGCTGTAGTGCAGTGGCACAATCTCGGCTCACTGCAATCCCTGCCTCCTGGGTTGAAGCAGTTCTCCTGTCTCAGGCTCCTAGGTAGCTGGGACTACAGGTGTGCACTGCCATGCCCACCTAATTTTTTGTATTTTTAGTAGAGACAGGCTTTCACCGTGTTGGCCAGGATGATCTTGATCTCCTGACCTCGTGATCTACCTGCCTCAGCCTCCCAAAGTGCTGGAATTACAGGCGTGAGCCACTGCACCTGGCTAGTTTTTGTATTTTTAATAGAGACAGGGTTTTGCCATGTTGCTCAGGCTGGTCTCGAACTCCTGGACCTCAAACAGTCTGCCTGCCTCAGCCTCCCAAAGTGCTAGGATTACAGGCATGAGCCACCATGCCTGGCCTTCTTTTTTATTTTAACCATCCCATTATGCAGAAGAAAGAGAAGGCATTGTGTTCTGTTGCCCGGGCTGGAGTGCAGCAGTGTGACCATGGCTCACTGCAGTCTCAACCTCCTGGGCTCAAATGATCCTCCCACCTTGGCCTCTCACAAAAAGCATTTATGCTCTTGTGGTGAGCAGTGCACTCCTGTTTGTGGTTGTGGTGTCCTCTGTCCCTGCAGTGAGGGTTCAGTGGCCGTGCCCATTGATGTACACCTGAGACTGTGCATCAGAGTAGACCGGTCAGGAGGCCCCAGGCAGAGTCACATCACTGTCCTGATGCTGGGAGTAGGGCCGGCCCTCATAATTAGGTGGTTCATGGTCCAGAGATAACCTGCTTCCCTGAGCACCAGAGGCCATTGGTGAGTCTCTTTCTTTAGTACCCATCCATAGCATGGAAGGAGCCCATGTCAGCCCAAATTGCCAGGGAGGGCTGGAAAGGTTGATGCCTTTGATGGTGTCTCTTTTCAGCCATCCTAAAATATTTGTCCAAAACTGTATAATACCAGGCTTGAGATACACCACTCATGCTGGGTTTAACTGACCCCTCATGACAAGGGATATCCTCTGTGGGCACAGCCAGCTCACTCTCTGCTTCTCACTGTCCATCATTTGGAAGTTCATCAGCTCAGGAGCATCTGAAGGAGTGTTGTATGTGATGTTACAGTTGCTCTTGTGAGCCATCTACCCCATCTCTTAGGGAAAGAAGTCCACACCCATGCAAGTGGGCAGGTGTCGTCTTGCTGAGGTTAGCACTGTGGCTGCCTGAGTTAACAGCTCTAAATATTGTCCTGAACATTTTCCTGGGAAATTTATTCAATTTGGGGTAATTCTTCCAGAGGCATCCTGCTGTTAAGGTAATGTAATGGGTTCTATAGAACCTTATTTTACTATGCAATTTGAAAGTGTATTGAATGTCTCCACACGTGGCGAGGATATGAGGGTGAGTTGGTCAGAGGTGGGACTACCTCAAGACTGTGGGTTCCCTGGGCATAGGAGGCATGTCATCCCTCACCTTCCCCCCTAGGAACCTGGCACATGGCCTGGTGTGCTGCAGAAGCTTAGTCAGAATCTGGGTTGGTAGGATGCATGCATGGAGGTAGTTGGGTGGACGGATGCTTGCTTCTTCCTGGGTGGAACCATCTCCTTCGTCTAGGCCAGGATGTTTCAGCTCCAATGTGGATTTCTTTTGAGAGGGGTGTGTGTGTGTGTGTGTGTGTGTGTGTGTGTGTGTATGTATTTGCTGGGGAGTGCCGTGTAAGAGACAACATGAGTGAGTAAGTGAGTGAGAACCACATCCACATAGCTTCCTGTCTGTGTTTAGACTTCGTGAAGATGCATCAGCTGTAAAATCTGCCTGGGATGCTCAGATTGCTCAAATGTCTAAGGAGATGGTCTCCAAAGACCTTCAGATTCAGATGCTGCAGGAAGAAGAGATGAAGCTCAAGGCACAGGTGGCCCGATTCCAGCAGGACGTTGAAAGGTAACTGTCCCCAGGCAGATATTTTTATTGAGTGTCTCCTTCCTATGGGCAGGTGCTATTGTAGGTACTAAGGATTCAGAACTGAACAGATCCAATCCCTGGCCTCACATTTTCCTGGGGAAGAAAGACAGTGAACAAGACAGTTAGAATGTCTGCTCACACGAGGGGTGGTGTGAGAAAGTGCGCAGAAGGGGGCTGCCTGCTGGAGGGAGCATGGCCAGAGGCCTCAGAAGGATGGTGCTTCTTAGTCTGTAATAAGAACCATAAAAGAGCTGCTCTTTGATACCACACTAAGAATCTCCTCTTGCCAGTTGCAGTGGCTCATGCTTGTGATCCCAGGACTTAGGGAGGCAGAAGCAGGAGGATCGCGTGAACCCAGGCATTGGAGACCAGCCTGTTTAACATCACGAGACCCCATCTCTGCAAAAAGGAAAACAAAAACAAAGAATCTTCTTGTTCTGTCCTGTCTGATTGTTAATGTCTTCAGGTTATTTCTTACCCGTTGGGATGAATACTTACTTGCACAAAGATAGCATTCTATTTCCCATATATATTAAAGTCAACTTTATTGAAGAATACATATAATAAAACTCATCCATTTTAACTATACACTTGATTTTAGTGAATGCTATATGTGAATTTTGATGAATGTGTATGCTGTATGATATGGTTTGGCTCTCTGTCCCCACGCAAATCTAATCTTAAATTGTAATCCCCATGTGTCAAGGGAGGGCCCTGGTGGGAGGTGACTGGATCATGGGGGCAGTTTCCCTGTGCTGTTCTTATGATAGTCCATGAGTTCTGATGGTTTCAAAGTGTTTGTGGCTCACGCCTGTAGTCCCAGCTACTCCAGTGGCTGAGGTGGGAAAATCGCTTGATCTCAGGAGGCGGAGGTTGCAGTGAGCCAAGATCACGCCACTGCACTCCAGTCTGGGCAACAGAGCAAGACTCCATCTAAAAAAAAAATGAATAAACAAATAAAAAAAAAATAAATAAATGAAATATTTGGTGGGGCGGGTGCAGTGAGTGGCTCATGTCTGTAATCTCAGAACTTTGGAGGCCAAGGCTGGCAGATGACTTGAGGTCAGGAATTAGAGACCAGCCTGGCCAATATGGTGAAACCCCGTCTCTACTAAAAGTATAAAAATTATCTGGGTGTGGTGTCACATGCCTGTAATCCCAGCTATTCGAGAGGCTGAGGCAGGAAAATTGCTTGAACCTGGGAAGTGGAGACTGCAGTGAGCCAAGATCATGCCACTGCACTCTAGCCTAGGCAACAGAATGAGATTCTGTCTCAAAAATAAACAAATATGGAGTGGAGCAGCTGCTGGAGCTGCCTGCCTCATTGGTCTGAGGAGTAATCAGTGACATGATGGAGCAAGCAAGGATCACTTACACCTGGGACGGACTACAGAACAGCACGTACCAGAGGGGGAAGTCCAAGTCAAATGCAGGACTGCCTCACTGAGCAACCCAGAGTATCAGTGGTACCCGAGGTGTTCTCAGCAGCAGCAGGTACCTGTGGTGGATTTCCAGGCTGAACGGAGGCACGCATTCTTAGCTGAGACACCAAGAGGTGAACAAAGCCATATTGGAATCGAGAGGAATCTGATTCTGAGCAAAAACCAGCCTCCCCTAGGTCTTCAGAGGCATCAGATTTGGTGGAACAGCAATAGTGACTGGGGAAGCATAGCAAGATGCTGCAGCACATGGACTGTAGAATGAGATGTATCCTACAAGATGGCCTGATCTTCACTGACACCTTTAAGGCTTTTGACAAGCATGTGAATTTGATCCTCTCTGATTGTGATGAGTTCAGAAAGATGAAGCCAAATACTGCGAACCAACCAGAGTGTGCAGAAGAGTGGGTTTTGGGTCTGGCGTTGCGGCGTGGGGAGAGCTTGGTATCCATGACTGTGGCCATTAGATACTGTCATTGCTTGGGTACCACTTACTGGAGCTTCAGGAGGCCCTGGGGTTGGTAGGGAAGCTGGTAGAGGAGTACCGACTGGATTAGCAGGGACCATCCCAGCAGGTAATGACTACACAGGGAAGAGGCACTATAGCAACTGCTGCTGTTGCTGCGACTGCCAGCATTGCTGGATCCCCAGCACAGTACCCACGAGGACGGGGGACTCTGCCCCCACCCGTCAGCAGAGCAACCCCACCTCCAGGCATTATGGCCCCTCTACCTGGTATGAGACCACCCATGGGCCCACCAATTGGGCTTCCCCTTGCTGGAGGGATGCCAGTAGGCACCCACCATGTTAGGCTGGTCATGAACTCTTGACCTCAGGTGATCCACCTGCCTTGACCTCCCAAAATGCTGGGATTACAGGTATGTACCACTGAGCCCAGCCCAACCCTTTTTTTTTTAAGACAGAGCTCTGTTGCCCAGGCTGGAGTGCAGTGTCTTGATCTGGGCTCACTGCAACCTCTGCCTCCCAGGTTCAAGCAGTTTTCCTGCCTCAGGCTCCCAAGTAGCTGGGATTACAGGTGCCGCCACCATGCCCAGCTAATTTTTGTCTTTTTAGTAGAGACAGGGTTTCACCTTGTTGCCTGGCTGGTCTTTAGCTCCTGGCCTCAGGTGATCCGCCCACCTCAACCTCCTAAAGTGCTGGGATTATGGGTGTGGGCCACCAAGCCTCCTGGTAATATTCTTTTTCCCCAGCCTTCTCTGTCTGGTATTAACCGGCTGCTTGAGGGTTTTCCGCTTCAGTTTCCCACTCTCTGCTCTAACTTGTGCTTTGTCTTTTTTTCTTTCTCTTAAGCTACATTCTGGCTCTGTTACTCAGGCTGGAGTGCAGTGGCACAATCAGGACCTACTGCAGTCTCAACCTCACAGGCTCAACTGATAATCCCGCCTCAGCCTCCCAAGTAGCTGGGACTATAGGCACACGCCACCACACCCCTAATTTTTCTATTCTTATGGAGACGGTTTTACCATGTTGCCCAGGCTGGTCTCAAGTTCCTAGACTCAAGTCATCCTCCCACTTTGACCTCCCAGAGTATTAGGATTATAGGCATGAGCCGCCATGCCCTGCCTGCTTTGTCTTTAGAGTGCAATTCTTGCGGGTGGCCTGTGGTTGAATCTTACTTCTTTTTTTTTTTGAGACCGAGTTTTGCTGTTGTTACCCAGACTGGAGTGCAATGGCACGATCTCGGCTCATCGCAACCTCCTCCTTCTGGGTTCAAGCAATTCTCCTGCCTCGGCCTCCCGAGTAGCTGGGACTACAGGCACATGCCACCACGCCCAGCTAATTTTTGTATTTTTAGTAGAGACGGGGTTTCACCTTGTTGACCAGGATGGTCTCGATCTCTTGACCTCGTGATCCACCCACCTTGGCCTCCCAAAGTGCTGGGATTATAGGTGTGAGCCACCGCACCCAGTGGAATCTTACTTCTTTTATCTAGTGTAATACTCTACCTATTCCTCAGGGGGATTTGATAATTTAATTTAATGCCATTATTGATATATTTGTATATTAGGGCATAAATCTCCAACTTTCTGTCTGTCTCCCTCCCTCCCTTTCTTTCTTTCTTCCTTCCTTCCTTTCTTTTCTTTCTTTTTTTTTTTCCATGATCTTGCTCTGTCACCCAGGCTGGAGGGCAGTGGTGCAATCTCTGCTTACTTGCAGGCTTAATCTCCCAGGCAGGCTGAAGCAATCCTCCCACCTCAGCTTCCTGAGTAGCTGGAACTGCAGGCATGCATTACTGTGCCTGGCTAATTTTTTTGTATTTTTGGTAGAGACAGGGTTTTGCTATGTTGTCCAAGCTGGTCTCGAACTCCTGGACTCAACTGATGGGTCCACCTCCCAAAAGTGCTGGGATTACAGGCATGAGCCACTGCTCCTGGCCTGTTGGCTTTCTATTTTCCTCATCCATTCTTTGTTTCTTTTTTTCTACCTTTAAAAAAAATCTGTTGAATATTTTTTAGAATTTCATTTTGTTTCCAATTTTCTTGTATAAACCTCTTTGCCTTACATGTTTCATGGTTGTTCTGAAGTTTATAAGATGCACAGTCTATGTGTAATATTAACCATTCTGTATATAATGTAAAACCATTCAATTCAATTTCTGCTTCTGTTCAAGGTACAATTTCTATTTCTGCTTCTTTATACCATGGTTTTCTTATATTTTACATAAGGGGAGTCATTATATTTGCTTTTATCAGACTACCCTTTGTGAAAATAAAAATGAGGCTGGGTGCGGTGGCTCATGCATGTAATCACAGCACTTTGGGAGGCTGAGGTGGGCAGATCACAAGCTCAGGAGTTTGAGACCAGCCTGCCCAATATAGTAAAACCCTGTCTGTACTAAAAATACAAAAAAATTTGCCAGGTGTGGTGGCACATGCCTGTAATCCCAGCTACTTGGGAGGGAATGCAGGAGCCAAGATGGTGCCACTGCACTCCAGCCTGGGTAACAAAGTAAGACTTGATCTCAAAAAAAAAAAAAAAGGAAAAGTACCAATGCCGAAAGAAACATGTTGTAATAATGTTCTCAGCTCTTGCTTCCAGCATTCCTTTTTTTGTTAAATACTTTAACTGAAATGAAACAGTATGTAATATATCTTTAAGAAAGCACACTTAAATTTACATTATTACTTGTGTATGTAGAAAACCCTCATAACACGAACTAATGCAGAAGAAAAGAAACATGTTGTGATAACATTCTCAAGTTTTTTCGTTTTGTTTTGAGATGGAGTCTTGCTCTGTTGCCCAGGCTGAAGTGCAGTGGACTGATCTCAGCTCACTCCAACCTCTACCTCCCGGGTTCAAGCAATTCTCCTGTGTCAGCCTCTAGGGTAGATGGGATTATAGGCGCCTGCCACCATGCCCGGCTAATTTTTGTATTTTTAATAGAGATGGGGTTTCACCATGTTGGTGAGGCTGGTCTTGAACACCTGACTTCAGGTGATCCGTCCACCTCGGCCTGCCAAAATGCTAGCGATTACAGGCGTGAGCTGCTACATCTAGCTTACGTTCTCAACTCTTGATTCCAGTGTTCCTTCTTTGTTAAACTCTTCCATTCATTGTAAGAAAACACCACATATTGCAGTATTTAGACTGTTTCATACATTTAATTTCTCTCCTCATTATGTGCATGGTTGCCTTTAAATCTCTGAACTTATTTATAATAATAACTGCTTAAGTGTATTTTTTTGCTAATTCCATCATATCTTTATTTCTGAGTCTGTTTCTATTGGCTGATTTTTCTACTGGAGAAAGCTACATTGTTTTCTACTTGCTTGCCCATCTGGTATGTCAGGCACAGTGAATGTGATGTTGGCAAGTGTCTGGATTTGGTTGTGTTGCTAAGTATTTACATGGCAACTTGATCCTTTTGAGAGTTGTTTAAAATCTGTCTGAGCGCAGGTCCGGCAGGTCCAGAGAAGCCTTTTCACCAGGGCTGACTCAGCATCATTACTCCCAGGTCTCCACTGCGTGCCCTGGAGAGAGAGCTCCAAGGATTCTCTGAGGCGGGCTGCCCTGACGAACACGTGGAGCTCCCTGCTGGCTGCTCCTTCCCACGAGCTGCTCTTGGCCCAGCCCATGTTTGCTTCTCCTGTGTATTCGCATGTGGCTGTCAGCTGCAGCTTCTAGGGGACCCCTGCACAGATCCCAGGATGCCCTCCTCTCTGTTGCTGTGCCTCATGAAGCCCACTTCAGCCTCTTCAGCTTCTCCAAACTCCAACCTTTGTCTCCTCCACACAGCAAGACCCCCATGCTCTGTGTGGTTTGCCCTCCCTACAGGGATCCAGAAGGCCCTGTGGAGAGCAGCTTGGCAGTGAGTGGGCTCATCTCGTGCGGGCCTTCTCTGATGGGCCTCGGCCCTGCACCACTCATGGGTTCATCGTCCACTCAGTGAAAGCTGTGCCCCATTTTCTGCCCAGTGTCCCAGTTGTTTAAAGTGGAAAGATAGGCCTGGTGACAGCTGCTCTGTCATGTTAAATATTTATTTATTTTTGCAGTTACAGAGATTTTAAAATGTTTGTGTGGCTGGGCATGGTGGCTCACACATGTAATCCCAGGACTTTGGGAGGCCAAGGCAAGCAGATGACTTGAGCCCAGGAGTTCAAGACTAGCCTGGGCAACATGGTGAAACCCTGTTTCTACAACAAATACAATTAGCAGGGTGGTGCATACCTGGAGTCCCAGCTACTCGAGAGGCTGAGGCAGGAGGACCACTTAAGCCCAGTAGGTAGAGGCTATACTGAGCCAAGATTATACCACTGTACTCCAGCCTAGGTGACAGAGCAAGACTCTGTTTCAAATAAATAAATAAATAGAATTAAACAAAAAACAAGAACACATTGTGTATAAATTACCACAAACTTAGCAGTTTAGCTGCTTTAAATACCCGTTTATTATCTCAGGTTCTGGGGTCAGGGCCTGGGCAGGGCTCAGCTTTCCCCACTCAGGGTATCTCCAGGCTGGAATCAATGATGGCCAGGCCTGCCACTCCTTGGAGGCCCAGGGCCCCTTACAGACTCACCCAGCTCTTGGCAGAATTTAGTCCCTGCAGCTGTGGGACTGAGGCCTCCTTTTCCTCGATGGCTGACATCCAGGGTCACTCTTCACCCTAGAGGTGTCCTCAAGTCCTGACCATGCAGCCCCTCTGATGACCCTCTCACAGCGTGGTGGCTCCATCTTCAAGGCCAGCAGGGGGGTCTCCCTCCAGTCTCATGCAAAGCCATGCCTCCATCGCTGTGTCACTGCCTGGGACAGGAGGGACCTCTCCCCAGACACAGTGTCACCCACAGCCTGGCATTCTGCCCCCAATGTGTGGCCCCATGGCCTTCTGTCCCAGAGTTGCTGATGGAAGCCTAGTCCCAGTCCAATTCTTGTTCTTTTTTCCCAGTAGACTTTTCTTTCATCCTTGGTATGTAGTGTTTCCCCTTACTGTGTGCGAGTGGGGTCTCTGAAGCTCTCTGAAGGCTGTTCTGCTTGGTCCTGGCGGACCTGCCCCTCTGTATCCTGGGTGGTTTCCTCCTTCCATTCTGATCTAAGATGCTGGTCTTCTGGAGGAACCCCCAGGCTCTAGCGTTCTCACCCCTGTGTCCCCTTGAACTCACTCTGGGGGTTCTCCCAGCCCTGCCCGCCCCGTGGCTGGGTCCACCCTGCCCTGTTCCACTACTCTGTAGCCTCTCCCAGCCCTGCCCACCCATGGCTGGGTCCACCCTGCCCTGTTCTCCACTGCTCTCTAACCTCTCCCAGCCCTGCCCACCCATGACTGGGTCCACCCTGCCCTGTTCTCCACTGCTCTCTAGCCTCTCCCAGCCCTGCCCACCCATGACTGGGTACACCCTGCCCTGTTCTCCACTTCTCTCTAGCCTCTCCCAGCCCTGCCCACCCATGACTGGGTACACCCTGCTCTGCACTTGCTCCAGGGGCTCTCCCAGCTCTGCCTGCCTGTGGCTGGGTCCACCCTGCTCTGCTCGTTTGCTTTCATAGCTTGGTTCCTTTGTGCATAACTGCGTTTATAATCTTCTAGGGTCGTTACTTTCCTCCCTTTCTTCCTGCATGCTGGTTCTTCTGTTTTTGTGCATCTCACCCTCGTCTGTGGTGTTGGGTTTTCTCCAGCATCTGGCCATCCATGGTGTCTGCTTATCTCTGTGCTGGGCATCCCCCTGTGCCCGTCCACAGGAGCTTAGGGGCACATCAGGCCAGCACAGGCCACACGAGAGCAGGAGGGACAGCAGCAGCTCTGCTTTTCCCATGGAAGGGACGTCAAGAAGCATTAATGCTGGGCGGTTGGATGTGTCCTTAGGTACAAGCAGCAGCTGTCCATGGCGGTCGAAAGGGAGCAGAGCCTGGAACGTGATCAGGTGCAGCTGAGCCTGGACTGGCAGCGCCGCTGTGACGATGTTGAAAGGGACCAGATCCAAAAATCAGAGGCCCTGATTCAGGGTCTGACCACGGCAAAAAGTCAGGTGTGTGGGGTTGCCAGGGCCTGGGGCCTTTTCAGCACCTCTGCAGAGGTGGGGCTGGGCAGGACAGGTCTGGCTCTCACCAAATTGTTCTTTAAATTTGAAAACACTCAACCTCACTGAGCAGTTTGCTATATAGCAAGAGAAGTTATAGTAATAAAAATGTGCCCCCGCCTGTCCACCTGCCTTGACAGTGCTTTCTTGCATAAGCTGTTTCTGTAGCTGACCAGCTGCATGGTTTGATGATCCCTACTGGCCTGTCAGGGCAGTCTGGGGTGTGGGCTGGGCTGGAAGGGTTTGGCAGCGTTGCCACAGCGGGGAGCGTGCTCCGAGTGTCTCCCACCTGTGTGTGCCATCTGAGCCTCAGCAGGCACAGGAGCTGCCCCGTCATCCACACAGGGACTGAGTCCCAGTGTTTTCCCAGGTTGTTGCCAAGCTGCAGGAGACAGAGCGGGCACTACGGGAGCAGGAGGTAGTGCTGAAGGCCGTGACCCAGGAGCGAGACCAGGCCATGCAGGCCCTGAAGATTCATGGACTCCCTAGACCAGAGGCACAGGTGAGAGTGCCCAGCTGGCTCTTTGAAACATTGTTCAACAGCAGCAGTAGGAAAATAGAACTGGAGCCCCAAATCCTACCAAGGCTGGAGTTGTCTTTCTGTTGTATTCTCTTTAAATGACCAGTTGCACAAACAAGGGTGAGCTGGAAGCTTTAGAGACTTAAGGTGAACTCAGGCTTCTTCATCTTTCACATTTGAAAGCTCTAAAAATCCAAAATCCAAATATTGCTAGGTATCAGATGTTCATATGAGTTTGTTCTTATGTTATTGCCTCAGGACTCTCACAGTGGGTCATTTTATGCTAGAAATCTGTCATCACCGCTTCTGATTTTGTTGAGCAGTGACGTTAGCAGTTAGTAGTTAAGTAGTCAGCCTGTGCCAAGGTCTTCTCTTAGGCCTTGACACCCTCCATTCATTTCATCTCTGAGGTTGGCACCACATCCACTGAGATGCAGGGACACTGAGGAACTTGCCTGAGCTGTCACAGCTCGTCAGAGCAGAGCTGGGTCCACAGGCAGAGGGGAGCGGGCTGGCGGGGCTGCAGGAGGCTGAGGGAGAGTGTAGAGGGCCCAGCACAGGAGGACTGCCCCAGGCCTACAGATGGCTTTTCTTCTTCCATGGGGTGCAGCACACGCAGTGGAGCGTGCAGGTCTGGAGTGCACAGGTCAATGCAGCCGACACTTCAGTGTGCCCATGCACACTGGTCCAACAAGACCACCCCAGTGAGAGTCCCTGCGCCTTGCTGGTCCCCCCTCCCTGCACAAAGTGGCCACTGGTGTGCATTCTCTCCCCCTCAATTCACTTCTCTGCCTGTGGCTTGGCTTATCATGGAGGGCCTAGGTGTACAGGGGTTCCTCTGAGAGCACCAGGGCAACCAAGTGTACTTAGGAGTCAGATCCTAACTGGTATGAAGAATGTTCCTAGCTCGTCCTTCATTCATATCATTTTTATTTATTTATTTAGAGACAGGGTTTCACTTTGTCACCCAGGCTGGAGTACAGTTGTGTAATCTCAGCTCACTGCAACCTCCTCCTCCCCAAAGGCTCAAGAAATCCTCCTGCTTCAGCCCCCCGCTGTAGCTGGGACCACAGGTGTTCATCTTCACGCCTGGCTAATTTTTTTTTTTTAATTGAGACAGAGTTTCACTCTTGTGGCCCAGGCTGGAGTACAATGGTGCGATCTTGGCTCACTGCAACCTCTGCCTTCCGGGTTCAGGTGATTCTCCTGCCTCAGCCTCCTGAGTAGCTGGGATTACAGGCATGCACCACCATGCCCAGCTAAATTTTGTGTTTTTAGTAGAGACGAGATTTCTCCATGTTGTTCAGGCTGGTCTAGAACTCCTGATCTCAGGTGATCTGCCCACCTCAGCCTCCCAAAGTGCTGGGATTACAGGCGTGAGTCACCACACCCAGTCTTACTTATGTACTTTTATTCAATGTCCATTCTCCTAAGAGTATATAGAACCAGGCCATGGAACTGTTTTTTCTCCTAGGAGTGCTCTGTTCTGGGCACACAGAGTGCACATGCTGTGATTCTGCCTCTGCCAGATGTGAGGCTTGTTAAGATGCAGGAAGCTGATCTGAGGTTCATGTGGACATTTGGGCAGCAGCCACAGCCTTTTGGAGGATGGGGTGTAAGCAGCCGAAGGTCCTACATGCCTCCAAGCAGGAGGGAGAAGGAAGACTCGTGAGAGAGGCCAAGGTGGATGCCAGTGGACCCACCACATCATCGCTGGCCACAGAACCACCTTCTTCATTTTTAAAATGTGAAATAATGCTTCCTGTCCTGCTGGCTGCCTCACTGTACAGTGCTGATTTTGGGAAATGCAGTGTGCTGTCTGATGTGTAGAATGAGGCCTCAGATTATACCCTTCATCATTGAAGCTGGGTCTCTCCAGTGGTGCAGAGAAACGAGAGGCAGGGATGCTCTCCTGAGGATACACGTCTTCATGCACCCTGGTGGAGTGGGCCTGGCCAAGCCAAAGGCCAGGGTCCCTTTCCTCTCCACAAGTACTTCCTCACCAGCTCAATAGTTCACCAGAACCTGGCACAGACTATGGGATGCTGGCAGCTCAGCTGTGTCCTCCAAAAAGATGAGTGTGTGAACCCAGAAAATGTGAAACGGGTCTCAGTCAATTCAGAGTTTATTTTGCCAAGGTGGAGGATGCACCTGTGACACAGCTCAGGAGTTCCTGACGGCACGTGCCCAAGGTGGTCAGTATAAGAGTTAAAGAAAGAGGAAGGGAACGCGAAGTGCAGCTGGCAGTCAGACAGGTCTTTAGTTAAAGCCTGAGAGGTGCTCCTGGCCGATGGTGGTCAGGAGCACTTTCTATTACAGACTAAGAGTATTCATTGGCTTCAGGGTGAGGGGGCTTATCAGAAGCTTGGAATGTTTGTGTGGAGAAGTTTATGGCAGGGTTGGAATCTCTGGGAGAAGGGGGGTTTATCTTGGGGCAGACATCTTTCCAGCGAGAGGGTGGTTTATCTCGGGCTAGCATGTCTCTGGTCGGGAGGAGTTTGAATGTTTCTGGTTGGAGATGTTATTTGTGGTTTATGGTCGTGCTGACTTTAGCCATTAGGCTGATGCCCTTTGGATTTACTTAAGCAGTTTTTAAATTAAGGTGAACTTTAGAATGAGGGACTTGGGCCGGGCACGGTGGCTCAAGCCTGTAATCCCAGCACTTTGGGAGGCCGAGGCGGGTGGATCACGAGGTCAAGAGATTGAGACCATCCTGGTCAACATGGTGAAACCCCATCTCTACTAAAAATACAAAAAATTAGCTGGGCACAGTGGCGCGTGCTTGTAATCCCAGCTACTCAGGAGGCTGAGGCAGGAGAATTGCCTGAACCCAGGAGGCGGAGGTTGCGGTGAGCCGAGATCACGCCATTGCACTCCAGCCTGGGTAACAAGAGCAGAACTCCATCTCAAAAAAAAAAAAAAGAATGAGGGGCTTGTCCCAGATGGCGATGCTCCTGCTCTGTCAATCCAGACCCTCTAGTTATAAAAAGGAGGAAGGATGGCGTGCTCTTTCTGGCTACTTCCTGCTGACGAGGGGATGGAGAGTTCTCTGGTCCCAGGTTGACTGTAAGAGAATGCTGTCTGTAGATGTTTTTGGGTAGTTGTTTGTGAAATGGCCATGATCCTGTGAGTTAAAAGTCTTTGAAAAAGGTTAATCAGGCAGGGTAGGAACTTTAGGCCCAGACATATTATTAGGAGAGGGCCCAGGAGTGGGGTGACCTATGCTATGATTTTGCTTTCAAACCAAGAGTCTGTGTGGTTGTTTTGGTACTGTCTTAGCTTTTTCGCCTTTTCTTTAAGGTTTTTAGCAGCGTTTTTTACTAGGCTGGATTGGTTGATATCGAAACAACATTTCTTACCTAATGAGAGGCAGAGGCACATGTTTGGAAAAACCCATGTGTTATTTTCTGTTAGTAACCATTATTCCTGCTATGAGGATAATAATTAAGCAAAATGCTATAGTAATTAAGATTTTCTGTCCAATATTTCACCCTGAGGGTGCTACAGTATATAGAACTACTGCAAATAGTAGAGTGAGTAAAGCAGTTCCCACAAGGGTGGCGTAGTAAATAATTTCCACTAAAAAGTTTTACTATTTGGCTTAAAAGGAGAGGTAGAAATGACAGAAGTGTTTGGTGAGGTAGGGGTGAGACTGCATAAAATGCATAGTTCTCACTTAGTTACTTATCCTTTATGAGTCTCAGCTTAAGATTTCCTATTTCTTTACATTGATATTTAGGACTTTTTTTGGGCCATCAGGGTTTGCTTCCTTAGTTTTCCAGATTTCAACTTGAGAGTGATGTATTTAGAAGTTGATTCCTGCAACAGATCTGGTCTTAATAATTACCCTGGGTTCTGTGGACTCACTAGACATTGGGCGAAGGATTCCGGGCACCCTCAGTTATTGTTGTCAGCACCAGCAGTGAAGAGATTTTCTCCTGTGATGGTTGTGAGGCTTAGAGACAGCACCTGCTGAAACATCTAGTTTTCAGTTTATAGGGCTTTAAGAAAGCACAGCTTATTTTGGAAAATTTTAGCAAGAAAAATAGAATTTAAATTAAACAGTAGGAAGTAATAAAAATGGAAAAACATTAGGCAGCACTAGAATTTAACAACAGGTGTGCTATAGTTTTTGAAACAAATTTTCTCTTTCCAGTTTCCCATTTTTATTAAAAGACAAGTCATGTTAGGATTGGTTTGCTTAAGTATACTTGGCTTAACTATTTGCATACAGTGCAGCAAGAATAATTATTTGTTACACAGGCCTTTTAAATTGGCTTTGATAGAACTTTGTTCTGTAGAAGGAATCTGAGGTAAGACCTTTTTAAAGCCAATCCTAGCGATGGATTTGTACCATTAAATACCTTTGAGTTGGTGAATTTCTCTCCTCTTGGGGTCCCAAGATAATTTGGGGTCCCTGACCTGCTAGAAAGTGACATTCTTTACTTACCACAGATCAGAAACCCTGTACGGGGACTGTGTACACAGAATATGAGGCTGGTTTTCCAAGGGCTTTTTTGCTTTATAAGTTAAGTTTGATTCCTTAAAGGAAAGCACACCATTCTGGTTAAAAACTTGGTAAAAATAACCAGTTTTTCCAATTCTATCCTCTTACAAAAGAAAATAGATTCTTATTGCACTTATGCAAATAGCTATATTGCCATAACTTTAGAATACTAACAGATAGTTTCCAAATTCTGGACAAGATTAGGTCGAGAGAAACAGGTGTGCTCCAAATTTTGTTAATGGGAGTGTATTAAATTGTTAAAAGCTATTAACAGCTCAAAAGAAAAATTTATTTGACTTTGAAAAGCAAAACAAGGGATTAGCGATATTTTAAGCAAAATGTTAAAAAGATTACTCCAGTCTCCTATTAGTTTGGTTCATGCAGTTAATTCCTGTCCTGCTTGATGTTAATTAACATTTTAGCTCTTTAAGAGTTTTGAACATTTATCCTCAATTCTGATGTTACGATCTCCAGA